TGTATATGTATATTAATAATGTATGTGCATTGATATTATTTTAAAACAAATAGTAGTTGTAAATATTATTATTTAAAATAATGTATAAAAAAATATTAATGAAAATATTAGAAAAAAATTATTTTAAGAAAAAGAAATTAATATTTATTGAAAAAATCAGTTACTTTGGCTTGTTTAAGACCTCGATTTGCCATAAAAGTGTTCGTTATTGAGAGTGTCCGGTATTTAAAGGTTTTCCTATATAAAAGTGTTAAAAATGTCTCTAAAGTGTCCGCTATTTGGAGGTGTCCGTTAAAGGAGGTTTCACTGTATTCAACATTATTTATTCTACACATTTACTTATATTTTAGACGTTTTTTTTTCTCGATTTTTAGTGCAAGTTTTATGATTTCGTATCTATTTATTATGGTGTGTTTTAAGGATTTCGTACACTTTTAAGATATTTACAGCCAAACCAATTTTACCATTATTTACCTAATATTTCACGGTACGCAAATGTAAGCAAGCTTGCCGTGTATATAATCAGGTGCCAGTGTTTTCGACAAAATATTATTATTAGACGCGTTTTGGCGTTGCAGTTTTCGGTAAACAGTTTGCTGTATTGTTTGGTTTTACTAGCAATACCGCCAAAACGTTTTGTTTACCGTACAGTATTTTACCAACGGATTTAGCAAACCGAAGACAGTGAGCGTAGTTTTTTAATATTATTCAGTGGGCTTGGCAACATGGTTGTCAAAAAGTACATTCTGCAGTTTTCGAACAATAATGGGAATAAACAAGATCACCAAAACAGTCTGTTCGATACACTAACAATACTAGATTGCTCGAAAGTGCATCGCCAAAACACGTATACGAGTATTTATAAGTTATGCATTATTATTACTTATAAATAATAATAATAAAATACAGTTTTCCACATAGATTTCCCATTTTTTTTTTTTTACATACATTTGTAAGGGATTTTAGGTCACATCAATTTCTGCTCTAAATATATCATAAATCATACTAATACGGTTACCAAACTTTTTTTCCTTCCTATTAGTTTCTTTAAGATTCTCCGCGAATATAGGAGGTTTTACTACAATAATACAAATGTGTTCGTATTATTTTTTTCCTGTCTGCACATTAACGGTTGTTTTTTTTTTCCATCGACCGTAGTTCGTAAAAAAATTATATTGTTATCAGTTTTTACGAGACCAATACTAACTGACGACAATAATAATTTCAGACAACGCGTAGGCACGTAGAAAACACAACTAACCACGTTCGGATGATTTCCCCTCTCTCTCCCCCCCAATTGATTCGAAATTACTCGATATAGGTACCTGCCCATATTATTAAATTTTGTTTTCCAAGCACGCGCTGCACCCGTCGATTTGGTTGTTTACAACGGCGTGAAAAGTGTATGTTGTACGCTTCTTTTTTCGCGTAGCCGTTTATTTCGAGAAAATATTACAAAAATCCGACGAATTTTCCGTCAAAATACGTCGGACTTGCAGACGCCGGCCTCCCGGGGCCCGGAAATTCCCCAACGTTTCCTATATACCAATATTTCGTTCTTAATATTCTTAGCATTCTATTCATATACAAACGCTCTCGGAACGAGCTTATCATTCGTACGGCTTTCCTAGGGTTATAGTTTCCTTCCTTTTTAGCGGTATGACTCGCAAATTGTTATTTGGCGACACAGACTTCGAAGGACTTTCACTTGGTCGTAAACAAAATCTATGATATTCCGTATGTTTTTTCCTCCCCAATGATGGTTAAGATAAACCTAACCAATTCGTTTATTTTATATTACACTGCGTATATATTTTAAAAAAACAATACATTATGATAGTGTACGACGAATCGTCGAAAAAATAATAGTCTGCGCTGGGCTGAACACCATGCACGAAGAAGCCAAAACCCACTACTATTACACGCGCGGGCAGTGCTGGAACGGAACGCATTAGTAAAATGAAAAACTTCGGAAAAGCCGTGGACGATGTATGGAAAGTCATATTATAGCGAAAAGGGATGCGGACGCTTTACGACTGAATCGGGAGATTTTGATAGAGATAATTTGACGGTTGGTTATATGGCCTAATAAAACTGAATAATGATTTCGATATAATGTAATAAAAGTAATTAAAATATAATAAATTACGACAGCCGTTTAACCGTACATCAGATCTGCTAACACAAAAATTGTCCAAAATTAAACTGCAGTATAATTATTTCATATATATGGCGGACCGCAAAAGCGCAAACTAAAACCGCTGTGTCGACGAATTTAGAATAAATTCGAATTAAATAATATTCGACAAACGCCGAGGGAAAAATGTCCAATCGAAAACGAAAAAGCATTTATAAAACTACAAAGCTGAACATGACATACTTCGTGCCATGGATTTCCATATAGGGTCATTTTTGTAGCCTGTAGATGGGTACTTTGGCAGGTAGAGTATATATAATATAATTTAGTTTTGTATGCAGGGATGAATCATTGTGAACAGAAAACAATTCTGAGCGGAGTATTGTATTATTAGTCGTTGTTTTTTTCTCGTTGCCAAAGCATCTTAAGAATCAACAAAAAAAGGACTATGGGATGAATATTGAAAATCCCGGTAAATCGTTTCAAATAAAATACTACCGCCGAGAAGTATCGCATCTTCTGAAGTTTTCAGGGTTCAAAAATCGGAGGATTTTCACTAACCGCGAATGTGTTTTCCGAGAAAAAAAACCGTCTTTGTAAAACGTACAACAGCATTATATTTACACCCAGAATCTGAAATTGCAGGATCCTACTATTATCGTATACAACTTTTCGCACAGGAAATTTTTCGCTCGGACGTTTCTTTAGAATAATTTAAACGCGTAGTGAACCGAGAAAAAATTATTATTGAAATAAAGCCGCCTCGTCGAGAACTACAAAGCGCCCGCGGACCATCGACGGCGGCAGTGGCGGTTAACACGGCATGATGTGTTTGCGTATCGAATGAAATATTTAAATCGGATTGAAAAACCTCTCGGAGAATCGATAATAATAATAATATAATGCGGATAGCGTATAGATTCGGATGCGTATTATATAAATAAGTCTAGACATTGCCACGAACCGCGCATAATGCTATCGTCGTCGGCTCCTTGGAGGAATCACACAATATACGGCGGCACGGCTTATGTGCATATTATACTAAATATACTTTATGTGCATATTATAATATAATGTTATTATTATTAATCATGCAATCCGTATTCAATACACACGCACACACACGCGCGCGCACACACACACAAACACACACACACACACACATACACAGAACTAAGAACACACAAGTATACAATTTTATATACACCTAATAATTTTTCGGTTAAATGTATTGGAATATAATATTATCGACGAACGTGCGAATACGTAATATACTCGTATATTATAATATCATACTGTTGACGGTAATTAGACGTACAGTTCTCTTAAATTTTTATTTCAGAAGGAGGTCCATCAGCCGGCAGATTGCGAACACTTGGGTTCGCAGATAATGTGGACATAATATAGAAAATTTGTTAGCGGACATGACCAGTGCAATTTCTTATGGCCGGCGCTTTAAAAATTACTGCGAGTAATGTAGCATAAAAGACAAAAGCAATGGTAGTAGTTTAGAGCGTTTATGCCTGCAAAAAAGAAAAGGGTTAACATTTGGAAAAGCGGAAGAATTTAAATTACTATTATAGGCGTAACACTGCAGATCACCAAAAGTGGCTGGTCCAAAGAGATAAAGTTTATTCGTTTAAATAAAGCTGAAAACTCATTTTTATGCACTATCAAAATACTTTATCCAAGAAATTGACAGTTATATCGTATGTAGCAATTTACTACTCTGACATATGGATATGAAACTTGACTACGGCGATTATAGTGAAAAGTAAATTGTACCGGCCAGAGATAAGCAGCGTGATATTGTAACGATAGAAGAAATTAAGAAAATTGTTATTTCTATACGGAAGTTTTCATTTTTGTAGATTCCTAGTGTATCTACTGAAAGTAGTCTAAAAAAACTAAAACTTTCTTTTTACTGAAATGTATGCTTCTTTTCCTCGGAATACACACTTTTTTGATTACTAAGAATACCCCAAATGTTCGCATATTATTATTAGATCACAGGTTATTTTAAAAGATGCGGATTTTTCGTCCAGCAGTAATTTTATTTGAACAATTTTCTTAGATTCTTAATGGTTTTTTCTGAAAAATCATAAAACAAAAAAAAATCAACAGTACATCTTGATAGATACGTTGGTTTTATTTTCGTTTATTTCGAATTACCTAGGACACTTCTCATCAGGAAGAAACACTAATAATATAAATACTATGTAACCTTATACCAGTTTACCGAACCTTACTCAGAATAATTTTTTTATTACAATAATTTATCATTGTTGTCAGTATTTAAACTTCACTATCCTATATCCTATAATACCTCCTCAACTATTCCCAACTATACAACAGCAGCTTCTCCAATAGTATGTCCTGGTTTCATTATGTTATGTATTACCTATATTACGACTACGTGACGTACTGCAACTGCAGTGTATTGTCGTGAACGAAAAGTTGATGGTATTAAAATTGTTTACGAAAGTCAAAGACGACTGAGAAGGGGCGGGGGGGCAGTACGATTTTCTTCTTTAGATTATATAGGTTTAGTAACAACAATATAATACATTACTATAGATACAAACATTAATGTTTTCGCATCTTAAACACTGCATGTTAAATTCAATTAACAATGTACACAATTAAAATGGACATTTTCGAAACATTATGTAGGTAATTATTATTCTACGCAGTATAATATTCAGAGAGTCTGTACACTGACGGTGTCGTAAAGTTATCGGAGAAAAAAAACGGTGTCGTTTTAGCGATTTCAAAACTTCATATTGTGTCATATTCTGTTGCGTTGCTGTTCAGTAAACAAAACGCATATCGAGCTGTAGGTAATATTATTTAATGCACACGGTCGACACATTTCGCAAAATAATTGACACAGCCTACGGGGCCGATTACAGTATGGCTGACAACATGAGACAGATTACCAAAAAACCGACCGAAGCGCAAAAGAAACTTTTACGAGAGTCGCAGGCTAAAGTTGACGAAGTCGTTGGTATCATGAAAGTGAACGTTGAAAAAGTGATAGAAAGAGATCGGCAAATATCAGAATTAGATGTTCGTTCGAGTGTATTACAACACGGTGCTTCTCAATTTCAGCATACCGCTACAGAAGTCAAAAGGAAAATGTGGTGGAAAAATGTAAGGATAATGATTATTTTGGGCATTGTGATAGCAGTGCTTCTGCTTCTCATTCTCGGCTCATTTTATCCGAGCAATAGTTAAGTAATAACTACTGCTATCACGCATTTATTTCATGAATTGTATGACGATGAATTCTTGTCACAAAATTGCATATTATAAGTCGTGTGTTTTTATTTTTTCTTATTACTTAAATCTTACATCATATTATAATATTTACTTCGGAAAAAAAAAAAAACTTTAAAATGACCCAAAACCAATTTACCATTGTTTGTTAAAAACGTGTAAGATATCCGCTATTGTATAATATGAGTATGGTATTGGATATACAAGTATAGAAACAATATGAACCTAATTTGAGTAGGTGCATTATTTTTACAAACATAGTTTGCCACCGTTCATTTGGCGAGAAAACGATTTTTCAAAGTTGTCAAATATTATAAAACGACGCGCTTATTTTTTTTTTCATCCACAAATTATGTAGATATGGTGTATACAAATGTGTATAATGTGGACAGTCAAATGGCCTTGTAACACAGTATAGTAAAGAATATACGTAAATTTAAAATCGGTGACAATTTTAAGAAGCGTTTTTTTTTATTGATTTAAAAGTTAATTAACCACCTGTATTAACGATATTGTATAATTGGAGAGGAGGTTGGAGTGAGATTATTAATTTCCTCTTACAAAAAAAAATAAATCGTCAAAATATTACACTCGCCAAAAGTGTTTTAAAAATATTAAGTGCCGTTTCTCGGAATAAGTATTAGGAATTCCGAAAAAAAATATATATTTAAAATATCATCCGATGAAATCGGATTTTTTTTTATACCCAACAAATATACAGTTCGCCAACCACTTGTATAAACGCCGATTTAAAATGCAGTATGAAAAATATTGTCGTGTACATATTATGATTCATTGTTAATTGAATTGTTCAAATATTTTCCACGACTTATAAATGAAATTGTCGGAATTGGAATTTTCAAAATGTTAAATTTTCTGTAGATTTCTGTTAACTCGATGTGGTACATATCAATCATCTTATGTTATCAATATTGACAATTTCATATGAGCGTGTAAATACACGACATTGTTTGAACTAAATCCGACAACACGGCCAAGCGGTTAACCGTGTGGCAAGGCCGTATGAACACTGGTACACCAAAGGCCATTGATACAAACCAATTACATCAAAGGATATATATGCACGTGCCCATGCACACATGTGTAATGAAAAGCCACTTTCATAACAAAACTTAAAAATAATCAATATCATTTTATTAACCGGTACATTTTTGAAAAAAGAGGTGTAGGGAGCCGATAAATTAAATAATATGTATTTGGGAGGCAATTCAAAGGTATTTTTAAAGGGTAAAATATCGAACGTCTATATTTGGGTTTCAATTTAGTTGTCCCGAAAACGATAACTATATTTATAATACTATATTATTGTTTTCGGGCCACACGCGTTTGACGATAATTGCGAACGAACGATATAGTAAATTTGCGTCCAGCAGAACTGATTTTGTACCGTTGGTTTTAGCATTAGAGCGAAATGCCCTATTATCAACGGTAAGAACATTACAATAATATGTCATTATACGCGTCACTGCTGATATTTTAATATTCGAGCGAGATTTAAACATTTTCGATTTAACATGTATTTCGCGCGCTCGCGTATCTCGCATATCAAAAATTAATGCAACGAAAAACAACGCGTTCCCTTTTCATGGCGAATTTGCCGGGTCGCGGTTGGTTCGCAAGAACAGCACGATAAACCGAGTATTACGCATCGTTCTCTTAAATTATTAACCGGTTACTGAAAAAAATCCCAAATTTGTTCGTTATAATGTATTGACCTCCCCGAGCGTCAGTTAGCTGGTTTTCGTGCGTTTTACGACGCGTTATACGTACTCGTATAGTTTATGGAGGTATGTCGGAGCTCTTTTATAATGAATCCACGTCGTTTGTCGACGTATCGCGTTTAAGGCTCGATATAATGTTATACGAGACTGTTGCTGCCACTGTTGCTGTTAACGGGATGATAATAAAATCGATCGAGACCGCCGCTAATATCGCCGCGCGCGGCAGTAATACAAAATCGCCGGCGATTCGGCGTACGCGGGCTTTGCGCGCGAGTCCGAGGAAAACGGCCGGCAGGCAATATAACACGGCCTATGAGCGCGCGGCGGACATAATCCCGGCGGTAATTCCGCGTTGGCTTTTACGGTCGGTCCGACGCAATAATGTCGCGGGAAAGCCGTTAAAACTGTTTTTCTACACAGGCACGTTACCCCGCTGTACGACACGGCCTGGCAGTAATAATATGTAAAAATGCGCGGTTATAGACCCCCGCGACGTAATTTCGGTCCGTTTTATATTGTTTCCCGCGCGCAAGTTGTGTGTAAACCGCACGGAACGGTCAAAGGCGCGTGTCGCCTGTACGTGCAATATGATGACCCATGGGCGCCCGTTTGTGTTCCGACGACGACACGCATCGCTTTTCGGTTTAGCGGACCCTATACCGAAAATCTACCTTCCGAAAATCGCGTGGAACTCGTTTAATTTTGGTTTCAGAGTAAAACTAAAAAAGGTGTTCCGGGTGCGTTTTTCCTATCATGCGTTATTCCTATTATTCCGGATGTAACCTTCATCGTACAATGTTTAGAAGTGATAAACGAGTGTAATATTTAACAGAATTTCGGTTTATCCCCCGAAATATTGTCTTCTTTTAATTCATTAATAGGTGCTTTTACTTTAAAACCAAAATCGAGCGAACACATGCGGATACATCATCCCTTTCAAAGGACACGTGCTCGCCCGCACATTGAGACTATAAAAACGTTGTTTTACGATACGCGTACACGATAATATTTTAATAGGACCGTAGACTTCGTTCCAGTGACGGATGCAGAGTTGAATTATAGTTGAGGGGACGGGAGGAATTTCAAAAAAAAAAAAATTACTAAGTAAAAAATTTAAAACAGTGGAGCAGCCACTATTTTAGGTGGTTAGTTGAGAAGATAAGATACATAAGGTTTTTGAATTTAAATCTGTATTCAACGATAAACTATTGTTAACTAATTTTTTGATTGGAGTGAGATTTATTGTAGAAAATTTGTTCATCCTCTAAATCCACCATTGCATAGTTCTACAGAGTATTCGAATGAAGAAACAAACAGAGAATATTGTATCCGCAACAAAAAGGTTTTTATTTTTTGATAAAATTAATACGAAAGAAGTCATTAAAAATCGTAAGCATCCGTGATTTCACACGCGTTTTTCAAAACCCTTACAAATTATTTAAGTAAAATCGAGTTTTGCAAACACAATTTTAAAAGGTCCTCAGTAAAGTACAAATTATTCGCAGCATTCACACCAACACCGCCAGCTTTTCCAGTATCTCGTTTTGTAAATACAAAATGCCCGTGTTGCAGTTCTATAAAGAGTATACAGTTCATACGAATACTCAGTCTTTTCTTTATATGCACATAATGTATTGTATCGAGCTCGAGACAGATTAGGCCGGCGTGCGATCGTTCTTTGCCCAAAGAGCTGCGAGCCATTAGTTAAATTGTTAAATTGTACCAATACTGGCGATAATAATAATACCGTATTTTGCTATTTTAAATAGACGTTATAAAAATAAAAAACGAAAATAGTATAAAATATCATATTTTATTGCTTATTGACTATCAAACTGTTGTGCTGTAACCAGCATACCTTTTCAACTATCTTTTGTCCATGTTTTCTTAATGGTACTGTTTGAGTCGAATTGATTGTGAATTAAACATAGTTGGGTACTCAGATCTGAATTTTTATTTGAGGGGTTAAAACATAGAAATGTTTAGTAAGGACGATATAGGCTATCTGGCCAAAATTGTCCAATCCGGCAATGGCCCGGTGTAACATGTAAAATAACCATTTCATATTGTATTTTGATCTATTATATTCATTTAGATAATTATTCTATCAAATATTACCTTATATTTTTTTAAGATATTTTAAAATCGATCTTTATACAACATCATTTATATAAATATACAATGTGTACTAGGAATTACTTTGTGTATTATAACGCGCCTCCGGTTACCTCAGTGAAAAAATGTCGACCTTGAAAATATAAAAAAAATTCCCGTACAATCGAAATATATTATCATAAAAATTGTATAAATATACGTACATAGAAATTCCGTCACGGAAACGATATTTTATAATAATAAAAATGATAGGTATCTAATATATTATGTTGGATATACCTGACGTTTGTTGCGACCGGGACGAATATCTGCGACTTCTGCAGTCGCGAATACGATCCGTCGCCATTATCATTAACCGGTTTTCGCAACGCTCGTCACAGCTCTGACAATATCATAATATTATTATTATTATTATCATCACGTCCCGGAGAGTTTGATTATCGTGAAAATACGGGAGATTCTGTATACAGTCCGAATATTTTTTTATTTGTTGAGGACCGAGTCTATGCTACATAGTGGATCAAAACTGCGCAACTCTACTGAATCTAAATAAAATATTATTCTCCCTCGTACGACGATGGATATGCCACTGTTTCAAGAAGAAGATTGGAAGAAGAAACGTATAGAGTTATTTAAATTTATATCCGTACGCAACAATAAACCATTGCTAACGAAAAACGATTTTACGCAAAGTACTATTAGTCGTATTTTTTCCTTTGGCACCAAGGACCAAAGTACCCGGAAGTCAATACAAATTACATAAAAGACAATTTTCAGTTTATCCTATTTATTATGAAAATCAAAAAATGACCTTCTCAATGCACCGATAAAATCATTGATTCTAAAAGAAATTCTTGTAACGTTTTTTATTAGAGCAAGATATCTTGTAGACAATATATTTACTGCAGCCACAAAAAAAAAAAAAAAAAACAAATTACATAGTTAAACCAATACATTCATCGCTTCGATCAGAATCTAAAATATGTATTTATGCAGTCTTCGTCCGACTACGGCGATATTAGACGTAAATCATTTCAAATTGCCTAAACGTCTCATATGTTATGTCGATCACTCTGTATAATAGTTATAATATTATATTATTATTATGGCAGCGAGTTCATTATTTTTATTTAATATTTATCAACAGGTTTTTCAACACTGCTCCGTAAAAGAGTTTTTGCAGTCATTTATTCGATTACCTACCTACGTTTTTTACGATTTATTTTTTAAAATTTATGTAGACAACTGCAACATTATTGGGTAGGGAGATATGCATTTCCTCCCTCGGTAATTACACCGCACAAATTGCGAATCATTCAAAGATTTAATATCAGCTGTATAGTATAGGTATAAAAGGTGTCTGTCGATTTCGAGAACTACATCTTATCGCCGCGTTAATGAACTCTCTGAAGTTTTTTTAGGGTCCGAGTTACCGTGAATTTAAGAAAGAGCATATTTAGTAATCAGCCAATCAATATACTTGTCTGATACGCGTTTAAAATCATGTAATAAAGTGTTCCTTATAGTCTCTTATGTGTATAAGGCACGGTCGATGATGAATGGTGACGACAAAAAACTTCTTGGGGTGTTCGAAATAAAGGTTTAGAGGTACATTTTTGGGGCATCGTATGACACTCACTGAACTAATAACGTTTGGAAGAAGAAAAAATTACGACCTGTACACGTGGAAAACCAAATAATATGTATTATAATGTTTAAGAACCTAGAAAATGGAATAGTTTGAGCGCGTTTGTAGAGCCAAAAATAACGTACTAAAAAAAGGTCACAACTCAAACCGAACAAAAGAAAATAAGACATGTTTTTTGAACCGATTTCGATCATATACATATTATATAATATTCTGTATTATATTTTATAGGTTGCATTAGTTTCAGATTTTTGGATTTTTAAAGATTCTACTTTAAGGGAGAGAAAAAAACTACTTGAAAACCACCTTTAGAGAGACCTTTATGGTAATTTTACTTTTTATGATTTTTCTCGTTTGACTTTAACATTATATGGAAATTTACTGATAAAAAACCATTCGCTTTATCATGTGCGGAAAAATAAATTCGAATAATACTTAGATATTATTATAGCAAATATATTATTCGCAATATTCTGATAACAAATCTATATAACTTTAAACAATAATGGTAGGTACCATTTAACGTGACGGTGACGGTACGACATTTTACATAAGAATTTTGATGTGCATAAACAAAAAATGGCCAAAATTGACATGATTTTTCTCATGAAAACCGTCCAATTGTAAAGCAGTTTTCGAAATTGTTTATGAAACTTGATTAATTTTTGCTCGGAATTCGATTGAACCAGACAAGTTCTTATCACTATTTTTTCCATATTTATTATATACGGCTTAATCGAAATTATAAAAAATTCAATATTAATTAACTTGTCTTGTCGTTCCACCGAGCTTTTCGATCTTAGTCTTGTGTAATTAATTACATAAAAATCCGGCCTCTGTACCTTGTTGGTCTAATATCAAGGGACGAGGGAGAGAGGAACGATAAATACAGCTAGCTATTATAAACGTGATAATAATATAATAAAACCGCATGGGCACGGAAAACGTCGCGTCCTTGTTACTAGACCTTTAATATTTCCTCTCATTTTTTTTTTCTTTCTTTATGAGTGACTGACAATAAATACGACGACGTCTACGCTGCCGTTGCCGAGTGAGTGAGTTCACGCCCAGTTTCATTCATTAATTCACGACGACCCATTTGCATAACGAGGTCGTCGCGCGTCAGAGCAGAGTGCGAAATTATAAAATATAATGTTTTTATACACTTATACGAGACGAAAGATAATATTATGACAACGCAAAGAAGAAGCCACACGACCGGGACAGCGTCGTCGTATTATTATTATTTTTGTATTTTTTATTATATACATACCTTACTGCATCACACGCCGGTGATGATATAGATTATTATTATGATGATGATAACAACAATGTAGTGGACGAGCCGCCGTCACGAACAGAAAGATCGCGTAAACATAAAAAAAAAAATCCGCTCCAGTCGGTAATGACGGTACTTATATAATATTTTTAATTAAGATTATACAACGTTTTCGCCGCGCAATCGGAAGACGTGTTCAACGATGATTGACCGGTAGACAATTATATATTTTGGAGCCCTCGACAAGACGGTATCGGGTAATTGTTTTTGATAAATTCTGAGCGAAATGACGAGGACGAGGGACGTGGATGATTGATAATATTATTGTTTTACTAATTGGAATATAAATTCGAAGGTTGCGCACTCTGGTGGCAATTTATTGTACCTACTGAAAGAAGGAAGCTGTCACTGTGATATCCGGACCATAAGTAATTTAATTACATTGTGGTATGTGGCGTATACGCGTTCATTCTCGACCTCAGGGCTCGAACGGGGATTTTAAACGATAAAACACATGCTAATAATAATTTTGATGTAAACAAATTAGACAGTGTCCTCTTAACGTTACATGACATAAGCACTATCTACACTTGAATTCAGATCCCAATACGCTTTTTGCATTCTGTCCGTAAACGATTTTTCAACCGGAACTCTCGCTCCGATCGTATAGAAAACTTAGTGGGTGATTTCCGGTTTTGTCTACGTATAGTCAGTGCATCGGGGAAGTCGGTTTTTTGATTCGTTTATTTTATTCTTAGTAACGAAGGAATCCAGCGGAAAAAAAAAACGTCGGATAAACGATAATATTTACGCAATGACGGTTTTTGTTTGCTTCGTTTTTATTTTCAGTTTATTTTCTTCTTTTGTAATTTGGTGGACAATAATAGTAGGTGGCAAAATACGATTGAGTACGGCATTTCCAATAATACACGATTGCAAACCCTCGATTTTCTGTTTGTTTTTCCTTTTTTTTTGTTAACACAATATTTAATTTAATTTAATTCAATGCAATTTAATGAAAACGATATTTGTTACTGGTCTTTCGTTTTACATAGAAACAGTTTTTATAATAATATTACGGGACACATTTGCGGGTAAAAGTTAGAACGATATTTATCGCACACCGTGACACGGAATTCACATTGGAAATTCAATCGTACGACATTATATTATAGATTATAGTTACAGGGGCGTGTTAAGGGGAAAGGTATAACGGGGACATTGGCCCCGGCTCAATATAAAACTCGAAATGAAATTAAAAATATCGTTGTGTTATTATGTCATTATTCTTAGTCGTTTTATTTTCATACACTTTGCTTGGAGTAATTATGATAATATACTGGCCAGTAATTAGAGGTGAAATCTAGTAACGTAATATAGTTTATGGGCCTAGAAAATATTTCAGGGCTATGGAAGGATTGTATTTGATGAAAGTAAAATATTCAAAGTTCAGTACGGATTTAATTAAACGAATTCGAAAAGGTTTACACAAATCGGTGAAAAAGTGTTTGGAAACAAAAAAAAAACGAACAATATTTTGACGGAGAATTTGAAAATGTTCAAAACGTGTTCCGCTGACCTATACGCTTGGAATCGTTCTTTTTTCTCCGATATTATAAAACAAAATGGGTTTCGCGTGTACGTATTAATAATAACCGCGCGCATAACAACCACGTACTGCACTTTACAGAACGGTATATTATTAATTCCATGTATTCATTACTACTGCATATTGTTATTACGATGATTATATCGTACAGTGCAGAGAAAGACGGCGAGGCGGGTGCCACATGTCGGCAAAAAGTCTGAACATTTGCTCGATATCGCGTGTATACTGAAAAGACGGTGGCGACTGCCCGAGCCGTAATATTATTATTACTATATACGTATAATATTTCACTGCAATGCTCTTTTACGTGTAACGACACGTTAAAGATACGGAATATCAAACGGGCCACGTAAATTGGGTTGGGTTTGGAGTTATTATGGCGGAGGCGGAACTAAAGTATCCGTCGGTTTTCGATTTCACGAGTGTGGCGGATTTCGACCGCCGGAACAGCCGCTAATATGAAGAAATACGAGCATAACGTCACGCAAAGAAGAAAATGTCGACTCGAAAATTCAGAGTATAATACAATTATTATATCGTCTCTTTGGGAATTCATTTTCTGCGGTTTTCATTATCTACCCGTACATTTCTCCGAGAGCGCGAGAGGAGCCGCACCTCCCGAATATAATACGCCTCCGTTTCGAGGATTGGGTATATTTTATAATAATAGTATTACATTTGCGAAATAATCGCTCGGTATTTATATAAACCGGACAGTTTATCGTTCGTACAGATAGCGAACGAATTCACGAACGGCGCGCGGCTGTACGTAAACATTTGCAATTCTAATGTCGGGTCGCACGTAACTTTAACCGATAACGGGCTGTCGGTAAAATGAAGAAAATATTATTATGTTATCTGCAAGTACAGAGTTGTCGGACCGATGGGTTGTTGTACCGATTTCCGTTCTGCACAACTTGCAGAACTGTTAACCACAACATATTCCGATCGTATATTCGTACAATTTAACTACCTATATAAAATGTTCACGTAAATACGTAATTTAATTTTCTTGTTACTGAGGAGTTGTTCTGTGCCGTGACACAAACACTACAAAATATATAAATAAAACTTCATTTTCATGATAACGATATTATGATGATTTTTCAAAGTATGTTTGACCTGGTGGTTTAGATACAGATCAAAAGCGTCTTGACATTTTTTTAACTTAAACAAGACTATAATTCTTTATTTAAACTGTAAACACGATTACTAATCTCTACGACTTGAAATTCAATTTTAATTTTTTTTTTTTTTTTTTTGTCAATACATATTATTATATTATTATGCAGAGTAGTATTTGTTATCAGTATTAAAATCGATTATACGCGGGCATGGCATTCCTATTAAAATTATGTTTTACGTTATTGAAACGTAATCTGTTCAATAACCGCAGTCGGTAATTAAACAGAGCCGACCGATCATGAAACCAACTGTATACAAAATGGTTTTCGTACAACCCGACATAAATTTATGGCATGCCGTACATGGGTAAATTGAATGCAAATATGGTATATCGCGAAAAATACACAATGTAGTTTGGTGATTTCGTTTATGTTTCACTAGGATCGGAGTAATAGCTTGATTCGCTTTGAAGTGCTATGTGTGTAGGTACGGTATGAACGCCATCGACGTTCAACGGGACCGAACACAAAAGGGTTTACAAAAAGGATATAGAGGTGGAAACAAAATATAATCGCGGGATGATATCTCGTGTTTGTCTCGTGCGTTTCATACTTGTGCAATTGGATCGGCGGCGGCGCAAAGATCAGACGGTGGTCTCGACGTACAAAGCCACGAGACTCAGGCCAGGAGCTCGTCTCTGTAACCGCACCAAGGCACGAATATTACCAGCTCTATACGTACAATTTTTTACATTTTTTTTTTTCTTCTTTTTGTCCGTCAAAGGATATTTTATCCCGCCATCTACGTAGACGGTGTTTGAATGGCGGCGCACGGTTTGCTGTTATTCCGACGAATTTAATACATTATAACAGCGTAGGTATCTACCGTGTTTGCTCGACACAAATATTATACACTTTAATATTATTGCCGTTAAATAGTTAGGACGGAATTTAAACGCATCGAGAACTATCGAAAAACAGTTTGAAAAATAACCGAAAATGACAACGAAAAATATACTTCACAAAATAACCCCGAGAAAAATACACATATTTCGCTCGCATTATTATACATCATTTTCATTAACTTTATTTAGATTAATGCCACGTTGAAAAATCCTGTGTGCGCTATTACACGCAGACGTCTAAAATGTCAAACCTCGGGCAAAGATGTGTTTTAAGGGGTGGCCAGGGGGGGGACGCTCGGACGTCAGTCGGTAAATCGCGGAGATTAGTTTGATATATGATTTAATAAAGTATTATTATTTTGGTTATAAATATAAAATCTATCAGTAAAGTATATCGGTTTGAGATATTACCATCATGTATATGCATCCGTAATATTAATTATTATTTTAGTTCACGGATTCACAGTGACAATATGACATCGAATTAAACTTAATTTGTTCGTCATAAAAGTATAGTAATATTTTTCGCGATACGAAACGCAAATATCGTAATAAATAAGAATGTTATCAATTTATCAAATAAAAAGTATAATATTATAATCTCGTGGAGTCGTTATAAATCAATTACGCCGATGCATAACATTATCGTGATAACATCTATTTCGTCGGAGCCTTTGTTTAAGGCACCGGATAACTGCGGTCCTCTGGATGCGTCCGGATGAGTACAAAACTTTTCTTAAACGTCGTTACATAATATTATATACGACGTGTACGGGCACATCATCGTCCTTAACATTCGCGCTGATGTTTTCCGTATACGGATTTCGCCGGGTACACGGATTACCGTCATCGTGCAGTAGGTACTATGAGTAGGTAAGCATCAGTAAAGATTTGAGTGTTTGAAAAACTGACGAAAAACACGCTGAACAAAATTTTAAGTGCTCGAAAAAAACCGCTTTTGATATTTGAATATTTTTCCTCGCATTGACCTGCAGAAGCTCTTGTGGAGAAGGACTTGGAGATATTATATTTATATATTTTAATATCTTCCCCGAACCCAATGTAAACCCAATCTATTGAATAATACATCGACTAGTGAACTTTTTCGTGTAAATAAAAAATCGTAGTTGGAGATCATAAAATTCTTATATTTTCAACACATTTTTCACCACAGACTTCAAAAAGTATATCATAATACATAGGCCCAAATAGACCACTGACTTTGGGGGTGCTACAATTATGGACACGTCACAGGGGCAATGCCTCAATAATCCCCTTTACACGACACTTATAATAAGCAATTACACATTTCGTTTACAATTTGTATATATAAAAGTGTATCATAAAACTTTTTAGTTTTCTTTTTTATACACACATGCGCTCATATATTGTTTATAGGCGAAAAAGCTTATGGTTTTACAAAGACATTTATTTTTATTTTTTTTTTTATCTGTGCGCAAATTTTTTACCAAAGTACTTGCTCAGATTTCTAAGTTTATCACCTTTTCTGAAAGGAAATCGGTATGCAGAGGTACTATAAAAAGACATATTTTTTCGATTTTCTCTGGCGTATTCTCTTCAAATTTGAAAAACCGAAAAAAACAGAGGAAAATGGGAAAAACGCGGGAAAACTGAACATTGGTACAATATTAAATAAATATTATTAAAGAAAATATATATAGCCTATTTAATTATTTTATTATTAAATGACATATATTGTTGACAATGAATCATTATCCACCGAACCCAGCTCGGTATCGTTTTTTCGTAAGCAATGGTTTATTGTTGCTTACAGGTATAAATTAAATGTTATCTATAACAGTAGCTGCACTCATCCCCATTATCCTATGATGTCTTTTTTTGTTTTATTTGACTGGTTTTTTTTTATATTGAAAATGGATAAGAATAGTAGCTCCCTCAGCACAAGCTCAGCTTTTAGGGGGTGCAGCAAAATTGTAAAGATTAAATAAATCAAATTTTACCTATTGTATATTATTGTTGCAAATATATTATTAATATTATTATAATTACTAAGCATACGGATAAAATATTTAATCGGTACTGTTAAAAAAGCGTATTGGGTATTTCGTAAGGTGCTAAAGACCCTTCTTGAACCCCCCCCCCCCTAGTCGCATCTATGGCTCTATAAACGAATTATATTTCGATTATGAAATCGATCAGAGACAATGAATATAAATACCTACTTCCTACTTAAATGTACTAATTCATCGACTAGCAAGGTCAAAATAAACACCGACCATCAAGCACAACATAACAGTAAAAAAATCATATTATTACTATCGTCAATAGTTCTTACGTCATGCACTTCTTATCAGACTGTGAGAGCAGTAATAATTTGATTGTTTGGATCCAAAAAATACATATAATTTATTTTTGAACACTCGTATTATATATTAAAATACGAGTATTTACATACTAATATTTGACTATTATTAAATAAAAGACGCTCAAATGGGATTTTTTGGAATAAAAAAATTATAAAAATACTTAAAACGTAGAATACAACAATTTTAAAGTTACTTTGCATCGCATTTGTATTTGTTTGGATCCGATCTTACTCGGTTAGGATTTTGATCAGACAATATGACGTCAAACTAATCGTGCGTATTTGTATTGTTGAGAAACGTATGCAAATATTGACCACCGCGTTAAACGGAAACGTATATTGCATGCGTATCTATCCAGTATTCTATAGTGTTCTATGATTGAAACTATTATATCAACGTAGATACCTACCTATACCACAAATCGTGGCAGTCGTGCGAACGGGTCACGGGCGATACTTACAAATGTGTGTACGGTGTGCGCTGCATACTCGAGATGTGAAAATTACTGTATTATTATCGTCCGGTGCTGGTCGCGCGCAAGTTTTCGGCTAAATCAATGCAAATTTACTGTGTAAATAGAATCGAACAAGGAAATAATTACGCGCTCACATGGCTTATAACTAATAACGATAATATTATAATACTGGGACCGACGAGCAGTCTAACAATATGGAAATCATTACGATGATATCATCGACGAGAGTGCATTGTAAATATTATCGGGATTTGAAACACGTATACGTGACAGCGATAGGACTTCGAAGACTATATAAAAAACCGCAGTTGTTATTATTTTCTAGTATTTATTTATTCGGTTCGCTATAGACAACAATAATATTATGATATTATTTACTCTTGCGGTAATCGAGAGTCCGCCGAACGTGGACAACAATGGGAAACGCTTATTTTTATCCCGCCGTTCGTTTTTTTTCATCATTTTTTCCAAACGTTATTGTTTATTTATCTCGATAACTCGTTTGTTTCCGTATGGTTTAACGCAAAAAAAAAAAAAAAACAAACTCCAACACAGAAAGGATAAAATATGATATTATTATTATAATATAGAACAACGTCGTCATCTCCGTTGGGTTATGTTAAAAAAATATGTCACGCGGCGTAATATATTAATTGTTTAGATATTCGTTACAGAAGCGATGATGTATACTCGCTTAACGTGTGTAATTGCGTTTCGAAAAAATAAATTGAAAAAATTAGAAAGATTTACGAGAGCGTTTCGGCGGTCGCGCGAGGCGAATAATGAAGAGACGGTTTTATTTTTTTTTTTTCGCGGTGCGAACGAAACACAAGTTCGTGGGCATCATACCGGCGGCGGCAGCGGCGTTCTATAATTATAAACCGAAAGAGAATAATTGCCCGTACCAAAAAATATTCATATATACAATGACGTTAAAAATGTGAAAAAAAAGCCGACATACACCGTACTACGGGTGTGTAGCTGTTGTGGGTGGGAAGTCGAGAACGTGGGATTATAAAGGGCGAGTTGAGTTTTATCTATAGATACAAAATTATATCTAAACAAGTTTATTTTCATCTGCTATCTTGGCTACGTAGATTTTTTTTTTCAAATCGTAATTTATATACGTTTATAAAAACAATAAGAACAATGTTTAGTTAATATCGATACGTGGTATAATAAATTGATTCGTATATCAATGGCCAATCGCACTGCAACCTTTATGAAATGTATGCGGATGTCTATCAAATCCAGTACACTTTTATTATAATAATATTAGCTTTTAGGTACACTTTTACTTGGTTAGGTTAACAGTGACATAATGAAAAACGAAATATTCATTTTAGATTCTGAGTGTAGCGAATAATGTATTGATTTTACTAAGATGTTAATTTTTTATTTTTTTTTTTTTTCATACTGTGTTAAAAAATTCGACCATAAATCTTGCACATATATATACGCGTGGCACAAATTCTGGAAAGAATTTTGTCCAGATGGTACTTTTGGGCGATCATTTTCTGATTTCCAAACGGTTTTCATAATATCTGGGAAAAAACAGGATAAAACATAAAAAAACGGAAAATGTACGAAAATAATGATTTATTATTTTTCAAGCTTGTTATTTGTTGTGATTCGGTTAAAAATATTTGTAGAGACTTGAAATTTGTACAAAAATTAATTAATATAAAGGGGAATTGAATTTATATTTGCACGCAATGATAAACCAATGTTAATGAAAACTGATTCGGAACGAAGTTTTTTTTATACACGTACGTACATTTTCCTGTTTTTGCCAATCATTATAAAAATCGTTTGAAAAATCACAAAAATACTTCCGTAAAGTACATATCATCCAGATAAAATGCCCTTTTAGAAAAATAGGCACTACACTTAAAAATCCGATTGAGATATCTAGTGGAAAAGTTGCTCAGATAAAAAACAAATAAAAATAAAAATAAACATCATCGTGAAATCATTATATTTTCACTACGCTCCGAATCATCGAAATACAGCTGATTTTAAGGTTATTTCAAATCAATAATTTCACTTAAACCTAGAAATACCGCACTTATACCGATATTAAACCACGAAAGTCCCGTGGTGTCATGCAATATTGGTTTGAATGGCATATAAATATACCGATATATTATTATTATATTGCATAATACATAAGCACTTAGGGACTTTGTACTTGCGCGAAAGTTTGCGATGTCGGGCAAATCGCTGTCCCGTTTTAACGGTCAGAGTAACCCGAAAGTGCATTGGAAAAAGTTTCCCGATGACGTTTTGCGCACAATGGCCTATAATCAAAGCGGTTGCGAATTTACCCGCACCACCGTATTTATATTCTATCAAAACCGCGGTTCGGAAAACCGAAAATGTTCCATTGAAATTTAATATAATCGAAATCCGTGATGGTTTTTTGATTTCATTTTATAACTCTCTCTCTCTCTCTCTCTCTCTCTCTCTTTTTCTCTCTGGACAATCGCCTATAAGTTAAGTTAAATTTTTTGTTTGTTCAATATTAAAAAAAAAAAAACAATTATTTGAGTAAAGTTTTTGTAACGGTGTTTCCCAGGACTTATACCCACGCATAACACTTTTCTTCTTTACGGCTACGCGACCCTGAATATTTACACAATTTCGATCGGACAGAATTATTCGAATTACTCGGCAATTGTTGAAAAAAAATATATACAACAGGCGTAGTATCTATTTCGCAGTGTTTACGAAACAAACGAAACTTAACATTCATCAAACTTTTGACACGTAACCTACAACAACAAAATGGCGTGCGTCCTACTTACGGAAAAGAGTTTATTTTTTAAAGCGTACATTATTAAAATTAAAAAAAAAAAAAAAGTACAAAAGTAATAATTGTATATTGACATTGCGAATTTTTCACATGCTAAAGTAGATATCCGAAAAAAAAAAAATAAGAGAAATTTGCGCAATAACGCATGAACCCCGGTTACAGTGTACACTGCCTTAATACTGGGATAAACAAACATTATTTTTTTCTTTTTACGATTATTAATAAGGCGTCGATTAATTCAGTAGTAGTGCAGGGATTACGACGAAAAGTTAAAAAAAATATTCCTGTTTATTCCACCATTAATCAAAAACGATATATATATATATTTTGTTTTTTAATATTAATAACGTATATAAATGTATTACCATTTTTTTTTTCAATTTTAGCTACGGCGGTGGCGCCGGCGCATAACGACATTAGCATTCCGAACGTTCGTAATTTTCATATTCGTTATTGCGGTCCGGTAATCCAATGATTTATTCAAATCGAAATAATAATAATAATAATATTAATATAATAACTAAAAGGAAATTGTCCTCTAACCGTATATGGGTAGCATTGTACGTGGTGCCGGACTGCGCAGCAAAAACAATAGTATAAAACCGTCTTTATTATTATAATTATTATTTTTTTTTTTATTCAGCGGTTTTTTCGGAAGATTTCAAGATTTAATTAGATTTCGGTTTTTTTCGTCGAGTTTTCGCCAAAAAAAAAAGACCGCGCGAAAATAATGCACTGCTGCATTGTTATGGTTTTATGTCTATAATAATAATATGATATATCCTTTTCTCGGTACGTTTGGAAAATTTCCGGCTTCCTTTGGACCGAAGAGCTCAAACTCAGAAATTAGAGTTTTTTTTTTTTTTTTTTACTGGTGAATTGAAGTGACTTCACCGTGTTATTGCGGAAGAATGGTGTTTCTTTTTAATCATGTACACACTTACAACAACTCCCCCCCTCCTCTGAATAAAGACTGAGGATAAAATTTTGTGTGTGCATCAAACATGATATAAGTATCAAGGATGTACCTTTTGGTGGTTTCAACATTTAAACCCAGACCGTCTGTTTTTATGTTAATGAAAATATCAAGATCTGCTTTTCCTATTTTTGATAAAACTTTTTTTTGGATTCTTATCATTATACAAATTTTAACAAATCACGATGGGCGTTTATATTTCACTCTATACTAATGAAGCTCTGCAATTCATGTATTTATAATATTTTTTTTAAATTTTAAATAATGGAATTTTTTTAAGCTTTTTTTTATGACTATTTTCAAATTTTTTCACGGTTACTCTTTATACCATTATTCCTACCATAAATTAATTTTCAAATAATCGTGATTTTCAATACGATTTCAAAAAAAAACAGCATTTTTTTTGAAATGTTGACACGCATACGACATTACATTTTAATAATATCGACTACATACTTTTTATGAGTTATAATTTTAACTGTTTAAAATTCGCGTAGACTGAAGGCGCGGTGAAATAATAATGTAACAAATTATTTATATATAGTTATATTATGGTATCATATAGATATGTTCAGATCAAAAATCGTCAAATTTTCAAAATATGATTTAGTTTAGAAGATCAATAAAAAATTGATTCTTTAATGATAATACATAAAAAACCGAAATCGAATATCTCTAAAAAAAACTCGACAGTATAATATTATATTGTATTAACTCTACTTATTTTAAATATGAACTAAACAATTGGTTCTAAAACACCATTTATACAGAATTTTAACCTTGAGTTTTGAATTACCTCTTTCGTGTAATATTTTAGATTTTGAATGGAGCGAAGAAGCTTATGGTTTTACAAAGATGTTTATTTTTGTTATTTTATATTTCTTTTTTCTGTGAACAAATTTTCTACCAACATTTTGCTCCAATATTTAATAACAGCAATTTTTCTAAAAAGAAATTTCACTAGGAAGGTAAAGAGGTAATTTTTCGATTTTCTTAGGAGTTTTCCCAGCAAATGTAAAACCCAAGATAAAACATGAAAAAAATGTAGAAAAATTGGGTAAATCGGTACAATATTAAACAAATATTAAAGAAAATATATAAAGCCTATATTTAATTATTTTACTATAAAATGACATCTGTATACTGTTGAAAAAGTATCAACTCCGCTCAGAAACGTTTTTCGTAATCAATGGTTTATCATTGCTAACAGAAATATATAAAATTATCTATAACAGTGGCTGCTCCCGTCCCCATTAACCTAGGACATCTTTTTTATTTATTCAATTATTATAATTAAGTATTATTTATTTGTTTTTATTTTATATTACCATACAAATTGTTTTATTTTTAATCTAGATAAGTACTCGTTAGATAAGAAGTTTTTACCTCAGCGGATAACAGCACTAACTTTATTTTTAAAAGCGTATTTTTTTTTTTTTTATTTACAGTTACGATTTCTGAGTAAGAAATAAAGACATTATTATTATTACCTACAATCTGCATACGTGCGTGCGTACGAAAAAAAAATATTCGAATTCTTCGTATAGATAATGTGATAGATCGTGATATAAAAAAACATATACGTAAGTATTATATACGAGTATATCACTCTGTAGACGCGCTATTCAAGTCGAAACGTTACGCAGGAGAAAAATATATATTTTACAATATACTTGGGAAAAACGAGCAGTCGGGAAAAAGTGAAAAACGACACCTATACCTTTATGTTATATACTTTATACATATATAATATGTAACCGACGAATTCGCTGTGAACAATCAATTACCTTTACGCGAAATATACATTCGACCGAGTCGAACCTTCTATGCGGACCTGGAAACGTCACCGCGGAGCCACGAAGCCAAAAACACATAGATTTACTTCGTAAATCTATTGTATTTCGGTGTCTGTCTGCAAACGTCGAGGGATTTTTCCCCACGAAATCCGTCGGTTCTGACAGGTTTCTCCCCCCCTCTCCCCGATAACGATAGTATAATTTTAATAATGTTCGGCGGTATACGGAATACAACAGGCATGGGTGTGTTTTGGCTGTTCGAAAATCCACCTCCCGTTGATCGCATTTAAGCCTAATAGTATAACGAACGTTTCGGTTTATCACAAAACGTGCAGCTAAATGATTCTACTCGTCACATTTAATATTATCGTTTTTCATGAAGATCGAAGATCAAGGCACCGCATTAGACTGATATGAATGTCATTATATCCTTGTGTTTTTATTACTGTTGATTTATTGGATATCGAATTACCGTAGTTTGATTGAACACACTACTCGTTAAAAATTCCCCCATTTAAATCGTGACATATAAACTCTCAGATATGTTTGAATAAATACAACAAAAGTTTTTCAGTGTTTTTCATACTACACCGTGAATTTGGAGTATGATACGATATAATGAATTTCAAACGGAATAGTATGGTCAAGGTTTTGTATTTGCATTACAAGTTCGACCGCTTTATAATCGGAACATTCCAGTCCGGGATATTTTTGATGTGGGATACGTTTGGCGTACGTGATATTTTGAGGATGGAAACAATGCGACAGCCTCTTAATACAAATTTTCGTTTCTGTCGTGAGACCCATAAGCAATTGACAATATTATTCATCATATATGTATATGTATACGCGCTATGATATTTGAAAACCACAATATAATATTAGAGTAACGATTTTTTTACGTATCGCGTCGGTATTTTCACGTGGGACTACCGAACAGCAATCAGTATACGCACACGATTTATTCGAGTACTCGACGTGTAGCCGATAGGCATCAAACCGATTTCGCCGAATCTTTGGCACGGATCTCCTAATAAATTATTATTATACGCAATGACACGGAACTGCTATAATGTGTTAACCGTTTTGTTTTTTTAATTCTTTATACACCCGGTTGCCCGGGGTCAAGAATACAATATTAAAACAATATTTCGTCTTCTTGTTAATAATAGTTGCTTAACGGTCCAAACGAGACCTGCGCCGCCACCACTAATAAGGATGTCTCCATCGTTATTTAGCCAACGCGTTGTACTCTTCAGTGACACGGCTCGTGAACGATGTGTATAAGAGGCGAGACGAATATTATTAAAACTACAAAAGGAGCTGGTGTTAGTAATGTACATAATATATGTTACGGTGTATGTTTTAAAATCGGTTAATTTCGTTATATTTATACTTTTTGGATATAAAAAACCGATTTTGTACCGTTGATTTTAATATTAAAATCAACGAGCTTATTATCAAACTTAAAGTTAAGAACATTGTGTTTTTTTGTACGTCGGTTTTTTCTCGGTATTTTAATTTTCAAGTAAGTTACAAACATGTGAAATACTACAATTTAAAAATTAAAATATCGAGAAAAATCAGACAATGTTCTTACCTTTAAGTTTGATAATAATCTCGTACATTTTAGTATTAAAATCAACAGCAAAAAGTATAAATATAACGACATTAACCGATTTTACTACATTACAGGTAACATATACACACTAAGATACGAGTAGATAGGCATTAAGAGAAACAGAAACCGAAGTGCTGTTATCATTGATTGTTATTTATTGATATTGCAGCGTTTACAATCTGACCAATACTGCGCTATACTACACTCGGCCAGGTATTAAAATATGAAATGGAACATTACATAATATGCGGTTTTTTTTACGGTTACATTTTTTAAGACAAGATTACGCTACACTGTCATTGTATGGGATGTGCGTATTCTACTGGCCCGATGGTGAAAAACGAATGACGATAGTTGACAGATGAAAAATATAGTAAATAAATATATAAATAAAAAATGTATACTTATAAAAATAAAATAAATAAATAAATAAATGTGTCACCTGGAGTATTATCATAAGTGACAAGCGTATCATACGATCGGTTTAGAATTATAAATTCATCATCAAGTATATCACAGTGAAAATGTAAGACTGTATGAGTCGTGTTTTACGAGTATCAACCATTTTAATAATTTGTGTTTACTTTATTATTTTATCATAGATGAAAAATGTTATGGGTATATTTTTTTTACACAAGAAAATCGTAGATGAATCGACGATCACACTTGCCTGCCTGCTATCCTGCAGCCTTTTGTGATTCTCGTTGTTCTTTGCTGCGTTTTTTTTCCGTCTTAATATCAATGGTTCGGCGTTTAACTAAAAATAAGTGCTTTCCGAAAATAAAATAAAAAATAAAGAGTAAAGAGAGTATTTTGAAAAATATTTTTAATCAAGGACCTGGTAGAAATACCGCGTTCGATAAATAGCCAAATAAAAAACATCAAATCATTTTTTCTAATCGAAATAATGTTTTCCGAGAACAAATTAATGCTTCTAGTAAAACATAGAACACATAAACAAATTACAGAACATTTTTTATTTTAGGAAATAAAATAGGTTTTAAAACTATTCGGAATACAGTATTGAATACTTTCGATAAAAAAGTCTTTTTAAAATATTCGGTATACTTTGTTCAGAATGTCTGGTCGTACGCCGGTTTTGCAAAATAAAATATTCATCGTCATCGCGTAAAACCCACAAAAGTGCCGTCCGGGGACCGAGTAAAAAAAAAAAAAAAAAAAAAAAAAAAAAAAAAAAAAAAAAAAAACTTTTCAACTATATAGATTCGCGTGTACAATATTTGTTGAACGGGTGATGATGGTCAGGGAATAGAATCCGTAATTTGAGAGAAGTATATTATTATAATAATTATTATTGTATACTCGCGAGGTTTTGTGAAATATTGATGAAACACGAAGCCTTTGAAAAAAAAAAAAAACGTTCACTACAAGAAAACATTTGCCCGTGGTTTTTTGTCGTGCAAACCAGCTTTTTTTTGTCTCTCGACCTATAAAGAAAAGTTGTACACGATAAATGAGGGGGAGGGGTTTATCCCGAAAGTACTCATGACTCGCGTATTATTGATCACGCCGAATCTTTGACAAGGATCTATACTCAACACGACGACAGTGACTTTATGCGAACGCTTCAATTGTCTCCGCCGACACGATTTATTCCGCGATAGAGCACGTGTCGTGCAACCGCTTTCTGAGCCGCCGACCGACAGTCGAGGACAAGTAGCGACGAAAATGCAAAAAAAAAAAAAAAAAAAAGGTTTTTACGTACAAACCTGACGAGAACAATATTTTGATTGTTACTATATTATTGTAATGTGTGGGCAGTACATGTAATAACAACAGTTCGATTGTTTTGGCATATCAAACCGTGTTTTCGGCCAAAATAATAATTTGTTGCGAGGAATGAGTTCCAAGAATCGGCTTTTAACGCGTTCAAACTTAACAAGTTAGAAGTTTAAGATTATTTTTACTTTTAACTCAACTTGTATTGTTTTACATCGAATAAATAAACGAGTTGATTTCGAATTGTGCCGCAGCGTTAAGCTAATTACAGTTGATTTTATTTTCAATACAATTTTAAGTCTTTGTCCTAGTTTTTTTATTTTTCGGTCGAAGGGTTAGAGTATATAAATCATAAATCACCTGTTTTTTTTTATACTGATCCTCCTTGTTTTCCAAAATATCAAAAACTATACGCTTAATCATTTTCGATGACGATAATACATTTGTATGCAACAAAAAACTTAATTTTTAGTTCATATGGGTTCAGTTCATCATTAAACGAAATTGTTATACGAACCTAAAGATCATTTTACCTCCAAGTGGTCGTTCTTGAAGATGAAATGATCTTTGTTCTCTGAAACCTTACTTATCCATTTTTTACTCGAGTTCACGCCACATTAATTTGGGAAAAGAATAAAAATAATAACACAGTGATGAAATTGAAAATAAAGTCCTTTGCTTTATATATAGGTATGTTATTAATCAAACGTATTCAGAACCGCCCATACAGGTTACAAACATAGTTTAAGAATTTTTAAAGTGAAATTTTTAAATGGACGCCATCTGCAACTTTTCATGTTACTCAATAACGATATTGACAGTTTTTTTCTACTAAGCATGATTGATTAAGTCCGGTTGACTTTAGAGATAATAACCACATTATTCGTATAGTAATCATTTATTTTATAATTCTTCATGTTTTCCAAAACTACACGTTTTGTAATTTCTTAGTAATAATTCAGTTGATAAGGATTTAATTTATTTAATTTAAGGTTAAAAAAAAAATAAACAAAGTGCGGATAAACCCCCGTGTAAGTGAATACACTAATAAAACATATTATTATAAAATTTAATATTTTCGTTCATATCACAAATAGGAACATTATTTGTAAGTGTACCACTCCATGAGTTCACTTCAATCCCCCCGCAAAGAAAAAAATAGATTATAATATTTACTACCGTTAAGATCACAGATTGAGATAAAACAACTTTTTGTTTTCGATTAGAAAGCCAGCCTGGTACAGTGCATTACATTTTCTGAAAATCACGTTTTAGTGGTTATCAGTGCTATTGCGGTGAAGTAGAAAACCACATTTGATAATTATTTGAAATAATACTATTTGTTTTCTGTGATTCTGTCGTGCATGAAGGTGTTCGCGCACCTTCGTAAGACTTTGAAACTGGGAGTTTTAAACTTAGTTTAATATTACCTCATTTGTTTAGAAATTAGCATATCCCACAGGTTTTGGTTTAAGTTTTTTTGACACTCTCCCTCCCATATTCAATATATTTAAGCGCACTTCGAACAATTGTCTTTTTTCGTAGTAAAATGTAGTTAAAAAGTGCAAATACATTGCTGCTTGTAATGCTACATTTTTACTGACTTATATTCAATATTCTCATATAAAATTGGATTTGAAATCGAACTCGGTCCGTATAATGAAATAAATACAACTTGTAACCATGAAAGGATTAACTCGTAAAATAACGTTCAAATTGACATTATTTCATGACGTTTTACCGAAAATTGATGGGAAAAAATATTATTCTATTATCCTGTTATTGTTTATAATTATAAATGTCGGATGTTTTATCGAGTTCTATCAAAAAAAATAAATATAAAATGAATGTGCACAACAACGAAAAACGTAGATACCTATACATACATATTATTGCAGCCGCGGGCTTAACGGCGGTCGTCGTAATATTTTGATGGCGTATTTCCTTTCCCTACTCCACCTCGTTTATCAATTTACCGTATACACTCATCTGATCCGAGATAAGCTTGTAACGCTCTCGAAAGTGTATAGGACTCGATCGAAAGCTTATATAAAAAAAAAAATAGAACACATAGTTACGCAACGATAGCGTAGGCAGTGCGGTGATCCGATATTTTCGTTTTTCAGGTAGTCCTTGTTTATTTTTCCTTCCTCTCAGCAGTCGTTGTCAGTGGTTTTTACCGAATTCACGCGTTGGTACCATACCATTACAACCAAACACTCACTCGGCGCAATGTTCGCGCACGGCAATAATAGTGTGTATATAGTTTTACACCGGATACGGTTCGTTCGAGTAGAATCGGAATAATATTTTCGTCATCCCACGAGTGTATTACCGTAATGGTTTTCGGGATTTTATACGGATCAAAAAATAAAAAAAACATCCATCCAATCTAAAGTGTTTTTTTTCACAGTCTAGATCGAATATTGAAATGTCGTCGCGTCGTCGGTTTTACACGCGTTTGCTCCCGCGGCATTTCCATTTGTACGGAATAAATATTTATATTACATATTTGTTTTTATTGACACGTATGTGTGTGTGTGAGTGTGCGAGATTTAAGACTTTGAAAGCATCGCGAAGTACGTATGGAAAAATGCATCCCCCCACAGATATTGTACGTAGATAGTCGAGTATTAATATTATTATATTAAGATGCCACGAGAGGTTCCTGAATTGAGTTGGATTTATTGTTAAAGTTTTGGTTTATTTTAATGCAATATACTTTGAATGTGAAATATTTGAAAACAAAATTTATTTATATCGAAATGTTTTATTTGTAAAATGTTTGCCGGAAATCGAGAATATTGCGCTATATTGTACCGTCTATTATTTTATCTATTGGAGACTTTGAGCGGCTCCCTCTGGACCAAATCAAACTCGAGCTCTAGGTAATAAATATTGTTTTATAGCCGAATTTAAGTGATGAAAATTGAGTTGAATTTCAATATGCGTTTCACCATGTCGTTGTGGGACGAACGTATTTTAGGCTTTTAATAGCCCTGCGAACCACTGAATGAAGCTAGGGAAAACATGCAATTTTTTTTACATTAATGGTAAAATATCAAGTTTGTACCTAGTGAGAACTTCAACATTTTATCCCTCCTAAACTGTATTTACGGTAATCTTTTAAAAGAAAACATCGGGTTTGAATAGACTAAAATTTAATAAAATAACTACCATAACTACTCGTATTTTAGATCAATTTCTAAAAAATTATTATTATTATTACAATAAGGAACTGGAACAACTTAGTTGGAGGAAATTTGTTTCTGGTGACCGAGTTCTGTTATTCGTGGACATTTTTTTTTTACGCAGTATAGTAGCGTAATACTATTAATTCATATTAGCTAGTAGTGGACAAAATCCGAATTTGCTGAAGTTCGATAATCCGTATTTTCGGAATGTATTTAAAATCTGAGTTATAGATTAACTTCGATTATGGATACTTTTAAGCATTTTTATACAATTCAAAAACCAATCATAAATATAAATTTGGTTTTAAACATTTATATATAATGTATATATTTTGTATAATATAAACTATCTGATAACAATTTGTTATCATACTAAGTAAAATGTTTAAATAAAGATAAAATACGGGTGAAAGGTAATTACTGGCAAATACGTATATTAAACATTTTTTTTTTTCCTTAAAACCATTTAGTACATTTTTCATATTATGATCGAAGATATATGAAAATATAAGAATATAAGATATAACAAAATATGTAAAATAGATTTTTAAAAAAAATCAAATATTAAAATCAAAAATTTGAATTTTCTGAATTTGAGGTCTGAAATTTTCGGATAATCCGGATTTATATCACATCATTATTTAATGTTCGCATTGAGTTGTAAGTTTTGACATGTTTTCGAACGCATATTATAATATTAAAGAGTAGTAGACAAAATTTTTAAAAATAGAAACAAACACCTAAAACCATAATAAAATATAGTAGTAGTGTACATACGATAAACAAAAAATGTATGTATATATTTATGTATATCATTGAAACGTTTAATCGACAAAAAATGCCAATAGCAGCAGTAGTGATTTTAATATTCAGCTATTTTAGCGCTATTCTGACGGCAATTTGTTTTTCATTGTTGTAGTATTCAACAGCAACTCGTTAGGTTTCATCGTAATTATCACTGAGAGTTGCCCTTGTCGTTTGCAAGGGCAACTCTCTACATTGAATTTCGGCCCGTTTGCGAAAAATCGATTTTTTCGGTCATCACGAGAGTTTAGAAAAACCAAAACCACCTTGTATGGGTTTTATGATTTATTTGTTTCTTTAACTATATATAATATCATAGGAGTTTTTCAATTTCGAGAAAACCGTAACAATAATCAATCTATTTCGCTACCGTTTGGACGATTCCGATTACGATTGTACGAGGTATCTAAACCAATTTTCCGGATCAATATTTTTAACTAGGTACATCACTAAAATCGTCCTGAAATGTCTCTAAATTATCCTTTTCTCCAAACGCGTCATTTACTTCAGCTCTCTGTTTTTCCTTCGTCTCCGCTTGCCGATTACGTTATCGCTCAGTATAAAACCCCTCGCAATATGATTGTTTTTAGAGCGTACCAAACGTTTATTTGTTTTTTTCTATTTTCCTCAGGTCCGTAAATTCGTACGGACTAATAATAGAATAGAATAGACAGTAGTTTATTACGCGACCAGTGGGCCGCGTACGAAGACGGTAAAAACATTCGCGATAATATCCTACGTACGTCTGTCAAAAGAAGATTGACTTTCGTACTGAGAACCGCCGGAAGATTTTTTTTTAAGAGATGTATTCTTTGGTTTTTGTTTCTTTTGTTTTGTGTAAAACATTATCGCGATAGCATAAGTGAAAAATATTATGTAATATATGTATAATGGCGCACATGCTATATTATATGTATAGGTACTCCAATATAAACTGAAAAGTTGTAACAATATTATTTTACGGTAAAGGCGATGATCACCACGGTTGCGGTCGTGTAATAATAAATAATAATATTTTGATAAAATGTATATTTTCACGAGTGTTTTCCCTCCTGAAAAATTCGATTTCAATACCACGGCGGTGGCACAATATTGTATTATATTACAGGTGACCGATATCGATTGTTGCTCGGTTATTGGTTTATAGGGTTATGCGTTTGTTGGTCTTGTGTCGATAAAACGAACAATGAGTGCTCTCAAAGAGTACCGGCAGTACCCATTACCCACTCGTGTGGTAGTCCAGTATAAGTGGTATATTTATACCCAACTCGAGTTGACCACCGATATGATATAATATTTTACGACGACCAGTCGAAAATGAAAACGATGGCGGAAGGGGTGGATCGGTTTGGTTTTCCAATATTTGGTCTACCATTTTTTTTTCAATGCACTCCCGAGACGCTTCACGTTTATTATGTACCAGCTTGCTCTTCCGGCTAGCTCGGAGGATTTTAAGTAAATTTGACTATCCACACCTACTCTCCTGGTTTAAATGTTAAACAGTATTACAATTACAACTCATAACTGAAAAAAATATGGATTACTTACAGACAATGCGTGTGTGTATGATAAATAATGATAAATAAGTTGACGGATGATTATATACATAAAGTTGTAAATGAAACATGCTCTTACTTATTATTTATTCTTACTTATTGTAAGGGTCATGTAATAGGAATTGCGATGGTATAGACCTCACGGGTCTTTGTAGTGTGTACCATAATTCTAGCACCTCCTTAAAATTGGTGGTCTAGTTTGCACCCCTGACCTAAGGATCACGAGCGAACATTTAAAAACGGCGTTAAAATAAAGCTCGAATGAACTAACAAAAAAAAAAACAAAACAAAACAAAACAGTAATCGAATATTCGCTTCAAGCCCTCCGAGAAAAATATCCGGATCGTGCGTGGATAAAAGAATCACCGCGTGTATTATCAGTCGTCATTATCGGTATAAGTATAATACAGTGATAAAATTTTCGGCAAACTTTCCGGACCCGGAGGTTTTAATTTAATATCGTACGGTATAATTTATGACGTCGTCGTCGGCTCGGCGTAATTGCAGCGTTTCATATAAACCGACGGCGGCGTATAGTTTTTCATAACCAACGGATATTACGTTACATTTCACGTTCGTCGCGAATAATACGCGCGCAGACTATAATATGGGTACGAGTTAAAAGCGATTGTAAATAAAATTATAATATTATTGGGTGTGTATACGAGTATATGATATTATGCGTATGCGCGCGAAAAACGACAAACGCCGCGATTGCCGAACGGAATATTACCGTATTGTGAAACGTGTTTTTCGAAAGCTCTTGATTGCGAGACGAGTAACCGTATTTTCGAGAGGAAAATAATCAAAAAAGGGATTGCGTATAATATACTGCAGACACGTCGTTCTATAGACGCCATATCGTGTAGGTGCAGGTAATTTAATTTTCGATTTTTAACACTCCGCGACTGGAATTAATTTAATTACGCATGCAAAATCGTAAGAACGAAAATAAGTACGATAATTCAATTAAATTGCGCGAAATAAAAGCCGCTATTATTATTGTGTTGTCATCGCGGCGGATGTATTATGTCCGCGTTATTGACCGTTTAGCGCGTAAAATTTATGATTCGATTTGAAAGACGCTTTATTTCACCGTGCCTATACCGACAATATATATCACTAAAACAATAGTACGCGCGGGGTTGCAACGAAAAAACTGAAAAAAAAAATAGTTTTCGTTTTTAACTGTAAACAAATTAGTACATTTTAAACACGTTTAAAATGAGATTTTTTTTCTGTTTTAAACGTTCCTTTTTGTAAACATCATATTATAATTGTGTCGCAGTTAAATATAATGTTATCGTAATTATTTAAGAACAAAATAGAATAACTACTGAGTAAATTTGTATATGTTTATCCAATAGCAATAGGAACTATTTATTTCCGTTTATATTTTAAGAATGATTAGGGACTGTAAAAATATCATTACTCTTCAGAATTAATATCATCGTTAGTGGGTAATCCAAAACTAGTAAAACTCGTGGAGTATTATGTAGCAGTCAGTCAACTATATTCTGAGGGTGTGACATTATATTCGTAACAATAATTAATAACAAATAATTAAATAACGTTTTACACGTCGAGACGGTTAAAACGTTCGAAAATAGTTTTTTTTTATTCACGCAATGATTGTTTTGTGAGAACTATACATCTGTGTCGACCGGATATTTTGATTTACGACGTTCGGTTTTGAATTTCAATTCGCCGACCTGTTGCACGACAGTGACGTTCGTTAGTGCGCATTGCATATTACTATAAGGCTAAGGAACAAGATAATAGTGATAATAATAATAATAATAATAACAACGATAATAGATTATCGCGAAGTTGAGATAACAGTATATTATACTACTGAAATACATAATGATATTATACGTAGATATGTCTTATGAATGATAATAGTAATTATGACGCTTACAGGGCGAAAGGTCGTATAGGCCATTTTTGTAATTTTACAGGAGAGCCAAAGTACAGCAACTTTTACCTGTGTTATTTTACTGGAATATTATTTGAAAGTCTAATTTTCATAAAAATCTGTTAACTCGTCATGTTTGTTCAAGAATTTACTCTTAAAAATCACTACTTATAGATATTTAACAGATTCTATAGAAACAATTTTAAAAAACTCACGTGAACAACTAGGTTTTTTACTATGTAGGTACAATATCACTAAAATCAGAAAGTTTAAATGAAGACATTTTATTTAATACCAACCCTGAAGGTAATCAGTCAATTGTATCTCTAGAACGTTCCCATTGAGATGATATTGTCATTTCCTTATTAACTATAGACAATACCAAACTTTTATCGATATTTTTTTGCGGTAACAGTGGAAACTATAGATTTTTAGACTCTTTTAACTTTATTTTTAACTGCTATAATAATAATCTTTATAAACCAGACCGTTAAAAAAAATGGCCTTATCGAAATTGTTGTTATTATTTAATAATATAATATTATTTTCATTAGTGATTTGAAATTGGCTATTCATTGTTTCTTGAACGTGGTTGTTTGTAGACGAATTCATTGCAGAATTAAATATTGTGTTTATTCTTAAACTCACTTTTAAACTAAACATAATAAAAGGCAAACAGTTATTGAACTATACCAAATTAATTACTAGATATACAATTTTTAAGTAAGTAGCCACTAAAAAGAAAAATAATAGATGATAGACGTTAACAGCATAAAAGTTTGACACAAACAACATCAAAGTTAGACGTAAACGCCATTAAAGTTAGGCGTAAACAACAAAATAAAACTATGACAGATTACAGGACGTTAAGCAAGCAGATAACTTAACGGTTAGACGAATAAAATATTATTTTAGCTGTCGCCTTTTTGAACTTGAAAATTGATGCCCCCATCGCGAAAACTGGCATTTAACCCCCCCGCCATACCACATTTGGTATTCATGGGCTCTCGAATTAAATCAGTTAGGATTTAGCCACGCGAATACGGCCAGTTTTCGTAATACGGACTGTGTAATTATATTTTCAAAAACCCACTGATGTAAGCATGCGAATCAAATGAATATAATAATAGTATTATGTGATTTACCTACTCAATTAATTTTGATCGATGTAAACAAAATAATAGCCAACAATAATAATATATACAGAACTGCACACGTGCCTACTACCTATATACGTACTAGTTGTCATTGAATTATAAAAATAATTATTAAATATAAATTAATAACAAATCGGTAGTTAATAACTAAAACTTATCTATCAAAACATCCATAACCTATGATGTAAACCAATACAAATCACGATCTTATAATAATAAAGAATACAAGAATAAGATTTTCGATCGTGTTTGTACTGTAGAGTTATACTGCGTATAGAGCATAATAATTACTCTACGAGTATTGTGCATCAATAATCAGATAATGTCAACGTAATGTTTGTATGTGTAGACGAAAATGTAGTTTACGCAACTATATTTTTCAACAGTCGTTTACGCATAAAAAATGTCGCTTACTAACTCCATACCTATTAATCAGTGACGTTTACGCTAAATATTTAATTATCGATAGTTTTTCTTAAAAATAATCGTAATGATACAGGAGTCGGCCCAATCGATAGAGAATCGTGGCGTTTACAGTTACATGTTTATAACTCGTTTTCGACAAAAATTGTCATTTACGACTTTTTGCCCTGTAAGCGTCAAAATGTCAAATACGCGCGTTTTGTTGGATGTACGCAATTCATTTCACGTCACACGAAATATTTTATATTATTCATAAACCAACTAAACTGCGCGCGTGAACAAAATAATATTGCATTTCTTATTTTATTCGTTTGCCTATATATATCACCATCATCATCATCATCATCATCAACCTCGACATACGACTTCATAACTCCGTAAGAGTTTTAGCTCCCACCATCAGTGTCCTCAAATTTTCTCCGTCGTGAATCTTTTTTATCCAGTCCGTAATATTTATTCCGCTATCCCTCAAGGTCTCGTAGTGTTTCATTCATTCAGCATTTTTCCTGCCTTCCCATGGGTCTTCTTCTTTCTGCGGATTACCGTCCAATTACGGCATTATTCGTCATTTTTTTTTGTTTTTGTTTTGCGTGTCCAAATCAATGCAGGAGTATTTCTGAGGAATCATTGTCCGTTCACATAGTTTATTATGACCATTTGAATTAGTTTTATTGTTTCTCTTACTTCAATAGCTTTGTTTTATTCTTTATTTCCAGTAATTTAATCCTTTATCAAACATGGGTCCACAATCCATGCGCTCTTCTGAAAACCTTATTCTCAAAACCCTTTTGTTTTCGCTCAAATCACCCTGTCAAAAGCGACGTACTTCGTACTCGTAAGTCGTAATATATTCATATAAAACAAATACGTGACCACATCGTCATTTTCTTGTAAAAACATTGTATAATTTTAGTTCCGTGTCCATTGTACAAACTCGTGTAAATCAACTAGCGTGGGGGATGGGGAAATGTCCTTTGAATTAGGTACACGTTGGACTTTATAAAGAAAACAAAACCTTCGAATTTTCCACGTTGAAAAGTATCCTTTTCAAAAAACAAAATAGTTCACATTTTATAGGAACAGTTAATACAATGTTAACTGTTCCTTGACGACAGTAATAGTTTTTGACCAATATCATAGGCATACCTGTCTATTTTTGACCGATTCATTTTCATGCAACGCTTTTGTATAGTTTTCAAAAATATACTCCATATGTAGTATTCATTATACTCGTATTATAACAAGGTAAATAATAATAAAAAAAAAAAATTGTAAACATATGATTTTTAATATCTCTTTAAATAATATATATTATCCAAAGCTGAGAAAGATTTTGACAAAACAAACGGAAAGAAGTGTGGCGATTAACGTCGGACATAAGTTTAAGAAAAATGTATTTAATCTATACCATTATTTCGATGGCTTAGTTTAAAAATATTGATACAAAATAACGATTAACGATTTACGTTAGAGTAAATTTTACATATAAAATGCCGTGAAATATCTTAATATGAACTATGGGACTTGCGCGTGAAACGAACATATTCGTAGTAGTATAATATTATACGAGCGTAATGCACATATATAAATATATATATTTTTTAATCATTTTTTAATTGTTAATTTTATTGTTTCGCGAAATCCACCTATAATATTGCTACATCACGCATACATTATACTAGTGTCACTCGTTATTTAAGTATTCCAAACTAATATATGCCTTTGAACACATTCACATCGTACACAATCTACCGTTATCATTATTATCTTGTTTTGTGCATGCTGCACTGTATTCGGAGTTCTCGAAAAAAAAAAAACGATAATTTTATTAATATAAATCTTATTGTAGCGTGTAACGTACGATACGGCCCATTGTTACCTATATGGCTAAATAAAGCAGAAATAGTGTAAACTAAATAGTGCAGAAACTTGGAGAAAAAAAACCGTACATAAAATTAACGCCTCGTGATCAAAAAGAAAAACGATTCTGTGAGCAATTTGTGGAATTGTAACTGTTTACTGAGACCGACGAACGAATAATAAGAAAGAGAATAATCGGACATACTCCGCACGGCGGGCGGACCACTGATTTTAGGTGAAAAGTTGAGAGGGTAGGGTATAGTAGGGAATTTAATATATATTTGTACGCAACGATAAATCACTGCTAACGAAAAACGATTCGGAGTGAAGTTTATTTTTATACGTGTATGTAAATTTTCCCAGATTCCCTACATTTTCCTCCGAGTTTTCTCAATTATTATGAAAAACCGTTTGGAAAATTAAAAAAATTACTTCTTTAAAGAACCAACTAAATGAAATTTTCTTTCAAAAAAAGTGTTACACTACTTGATACATCAATACAAGAATTATAGTATAAAAGTATATAAAAAAATAAATTATAATAAAGTAAAAGTAAACATCATGTTAAAACCACTATATTCGTTGATCCAAGTCTAAAATGAATAATATAGAATTTGCACTAGGGTGAGGATTAGATTTTAAAAGCACGAACTTTACATAGAGATGATTGAAGAACGTGTGACGGATGTACGACGGGATGGTCCAATAGAGGCTGCTTTTGTACGCCAACAAAGTCTGTTCATATTATAATGATAGATACCTACCTAATAATAATAATCACGGTTTGCGGGATTTTCCATCAACAGGTCCGTGAGTCAAAAAACAAAAAAAGTACACACAACAAATACAATACATTCTAAAACGGACGGTAAATATCTCGTTATCGTTGTTGTAAGGGTGGCAAATTAGAAATCCTAGGGTGATTCAGTTTACGAACTGAAAGCGACGAAAAATCTGAGCAAAACTCTGTAAACTGCAGAAAAGTATATTTACAATATTAATTGTGTTTTACCACACCGTAACTCATAAATCAATAAAAATAAAAATGTGTATTTATTTTTGAAAAAAAAACCCGTACGGAATCTGGAAATAATTTTCAAATAAAATTACCGATGAGCAACAAATCCATATCGTCTTTTGAAATACGATTCGAAAATTTTAACTGAAGAAAACATATCTTTTTCGAAAAAAAAAAAAAAATCTTCTTCTTAATTTATATTGGCTATTTAATAATAACGTGAACGTTTAAAGTACCGATGAGATAATACAATTTTAAGAACTTTGTATACTTTTAGACGGATTTTCTTGTATCCCATTACAGTTGACGAGTATATACAGTGTATTCCACGAATTTCATAAAAAAATATTATGTATAAAAAATATCAAAAAGTTATATTTTTCTACTGGTTGAGTGTTGAGCATTTAATATATATATATATATATATTATAATATTAAATAAACTTCGAATACCGGGAAACGCAGAAAGCGCATAAAATATCGTCTTCTCGGGTCTTAAAACTATTATACGAAAAAAAACGACCGGGCGAAACTTTAAAGACGTTCCCCGACGCAAAGTTTTATTCGAGTGCGCTGGCGGACGGGCCGCGGAAAATATACATTTTGATTAATTGATAAATAATTATAATAAAAAATTAATCCGTTGCTCTTTTATTTACATACCATCGGCGATCGGTTTTTCGAGAATAATCCGTCTGAACGCGAAAACCAATTAGGTTTTATGCTCCTAAAACGCGTATAGGTATTGAAAACATCCCCTCGGCGGCGAGCGGGTGGGACGATTCCGCGTGAAACAATATCGTCACGAATTTACGATCACGTCGAAAAGTAAATACAAATCGTGTACGTACGATACATTAATGTATTATTATATCCGATACATTTCCAATCAATTATTTCCATCGTCGTTTATTTGATTATATACATGTACTGCTAATGTTTATAATCAAATGTTTGTTTTTCAAACACGATGTACCTACGTGTGTACTACTATTATTATTGTTGTTATCTTTTTTTTTTTTTACATTTAAACAAAAAAATATATATTTACACCATAGTTTCTATTACCTGTATGTAAAAACAAACAGTTCGAGTGATAAGAAATATTTTTTTGACAAATGCAAAGAACAAACATCATTTTTTTTTTTTAAAAACACTAAACAAACAATTGTTTCGAAAATGTAAACACGGTATATTTTGACTGTACGAGTCGAATATAAATTATAAAATATTTTTGATTTTAAATCATATAGATATCCGTTTCCGAATGATGAAACTCGTTTCTTAAGAATATATAATAATACTAATAGTGTAGTTTTCTAAACCAATAGGTTTTAAGGGTTTGGACTTATTCATTAAAGAAAACAATTACTAGTTTTAAAAATGTCGAGGTAAAAATCATTTTTTTTTTTTTTTTTGTATATCATTCAGTTATCTTTTCTTATTTATCTATACTGGCGTATTTTTAACTTTATTTTCTTAGAGATTTTATCGTCACAATTACACACTGTGTCACCTGCTTGAAAAATCCCCCATCCGGTTTTCGACTATCCCAAATTTCTCTAGTCTTTTTCCACAATGTTATTCCATCTTTTCTTTGGTACTTTTTGAGGTTTTATTTCTTAGAGGTTTCAAAGCATTATTGTCCTAAATATTTTGATAAGATGCCCGATTTTTTATTTAAGTATTTCATATCATTATTTGAAATTAAATAAAGTTCAATTACATCAATTGAAGTTAAATGCGGTCTGTAGAATTTTGATAAATTCCCTTAAAATCATTTTCGTCTGCAAAAACAGCCTTACTCTTTCCCTTTGAGTATATGTCGGACTGTTGATTTACGGAAAACTCATATCATCAAGGAAGTCATAAAAATGTTACATATAGTTATACAATTTTATAAAATTGGAGCAAATTCGGATATCTGGAATCGGGTCCCTAATGAGACAGAAAATATAGTTCTCATATCATGTAATAACAAATGGTATGAACGAAATTAATTTAGTAAGATTATTAGGTAAAAATATTTATTTTAGTTTAAATTGTGTAATTCGAATTTTTTCGGTTAATTTGCATACAGACATGTTGTTAACTAACCCGTGTTTAAAATTTGGGTTTTTTTTTTTTTTTGAAGTCCAAGTAAGCATTATTCGAATTTATGATTTCAAACTATTATTAAATATAGAAACTGTTTAACGTTGTCGGTTAAAAAAAATGTAATTTTGTTAACCAAATTAACATTTTCTTCCCACTCCTACCAAAAAAAATAAATTAAAATCTCTTTTTTTCAATTACAGAACTTCTGGGATTTTAAATGCAAAATTATGTCTAGGTGATAAAAATTGTAAATTTAAAAGTAAGTTTGCCGTAATAAAAATAATTATTAAATTTAGCACGTTTTCATATTATCGTTTTGAAATTTGAAAATATTTTCTTATGTGGTAACCATTCGATATACCGCAGTATACCCCACTATTCCGCGCTAGAAACGTACCAGTTTTTTTTTCAAAACACTCTAGAATGTTTGGAATTCTCGAAAAAGTCATACATTAATAGAAAAATGTGTAATTTTCCAAATGAACAGCCGACAAATTGTACTTATTGTTAACAAAATGTTATAATAATCACCTATCTAACATTATCGTTTACCATTACAAATTATTGAACATTGCTCGAATAGCTTACGGCTTAATTACTATACCGGGTATACCAGTATACCAGATCTGATTACTTTATTGCGAGACGCGCGTCCAGACCGTAAGCTAATTACAATATTTGCATATAATATGTTGCAGACGCAGCTACAGGAAAATAATTTATTGACGAACGGCGCGCGTAAATAATATTACAATAATCGCATTAAGACTGGAGTAGTAGTTTCTATCAGTTTTAGCTTGTGGAGCGAATACTTTGAAAATTACAAGGAGAAGGGGTGTGGGGTGTAAATATACAGCACGGAGAACCAAATAATAAACTATGAGAAAAAGATAACTGGTCGCTGTTATCATTCGTTATTATTTGTAAATTTTAGGCTTAAGCAATCGGTAAATTACTTATTTTTTACTCAATTTTGACATAATGATGTGAATAATAGGCATAGTCGTCGGGTTTAAAAAAAAAAGAAAACGCGGACCGTGAACCGAAACGTGTCTTTTCAGATGAATCTGTTCATTTTAAATATTTACATTTTTTATTTAGTTTAATGTATCTTTTCAGCGTATAATTAGTTTAATAGAGATAGTGACAATTATGAAGATAATATCAAGAACCATTCGATCTATCTACCCACATAAATATACTATATTTGCTCTGCTACACAAATTTAAAAACAGTATGATAGAACTTTCCGGTTACCAGTGTGAGGATCATAATGAGTGCCTTGGGTGTTAGGAACTGCAACAACTTTCTTACCTCTGATAAAACAAATCTGTGTGTTTCACATACAAATTTACTATAGCTCATTGTTTTGGAATTAGTGTTAAAATATATACGAGATTTTCTATAGTACACAACAAATTTTCAAGATATTATTATCATCTACAATAATAACATTGTAGTATCTAGATCCACCGAATAGGTTATAACAATAGCAGAAAAACATTGTAAGTTAAACTTAACGATATTTCGAGTTACATCGATTATTTCAAAAATGTAATAGTTAAATATTTAGTTTATATTATATTCATGTTCGAAATTATCTGTTTAATATATATCTAAGGGGTAATTTGCCCTCTAAAAATATTACGACGGGTGTTCTAGTCCCCGAGCACCCGTGCACGTGACACCTATAAAATCGTACGGACTTTTAAAATACACTTTGGAAACGTATAATAGTATAGGTATGTAGAGTATTATATTGTCACGATGGAACATTACGGAAATACGTAGGTACTTAAAAACTTGAGCGGAAAAAACACTCGGAATAAGATTACAATAATAATATAATAAGTAATAACACAACGATCCGCAATGCACTGCATTAGTCGAGCGTTTGCTCGATGAAAAACGCACCGGTTCGTATACAATACATTATTATCATAATAGTATTTTTCTGTATCGTTTAAAACGGAAAATTGTCGTCAGTCAGGAAAACTTTTGTATTTTCAGTGTAGGTAATAAGTGTGATAACGAAAAAAGCCATGTACATACACTGTACTACTACTCTATCTTTGTAGCAGACAACAGTCTATGCACGTTTCGTCACCACGAGCCGGCTGCGAGTGATTGTAAAACTCATTCGTATTATCATTCAATATATCAGTATGAGTTCTTATCGAATTTTCCAGGGAAGAGGGCCGGAGAAGATTTCGATTTTCGCCTGGTGATATAACTTCAAATTACACACAAATATTATTATAGTTGACTCATGTAAGTACTGCAATTTTTTTAAAATCTATGCCATTATTTTTCAAGTTATTTGCAAAAAAAGTCCAGACGCTATATTTTTTATGATATGCAGACGGTGTAAGACGTCAATTGTCGAGAATTCGTGTTTATATTTGTAAACAAAAACAATTTAACCCTTCGCTAACCCTTCGCCCGTCCCTGCAGCCACTTCGTTTACTATTTTATGCACGACCATGATCTAACTGTATGGAAATCAATGGGAATCGTATACAGAAAAAGCTAATACGAGGTTTTTTTTTAATCCCATTTGTTTTTTTATCTAAACGAATGTTTTTCAAAAGAACAATTTATTTTCAAATTAAGAATATTTCCGAACCGCGATTAGATACATATCGGAATTTAATATTATATGAATTTGAAATTATTAGCGATTCAACACGCGTCTGGCATCGATGTCACTCCGGAATTATATATTATCATAACAAGAAACGTTATTAAATCGTAATATTTTAATCTCGAACATTTTTATTCACCACAGGTTATACACGTTTTCCATAAATAAATTACGGGTAAACCATGTAGTATTATAATAATAAACGTAGGTAGGTATACGACTTGTCATGGTGGCTGCTGGGCAATTTAACGGATGATATTAACCCGGTTGAGTTAATTGAAAAAAAAAAAGCGACGGAGTGAACAGTTTTTTATTTTTTTTATTAATTAACGGATCACACAAATATAAAAACAAAATTATTATTCACACAACAGTACCTATTTGAACAGCCAGTGGCGCTGAAATTAATATTAAAGAGTGGTGATTTGCTACCATCCTTATTTTAATAGGTACGTAGTGATGGATCTTAAACGTGGTGCAATCATATTTCAAACGAAACCGTTATTCATTGAGTTAAAGCAAAAGACAAGTCAAGTTAATAATAAAACAAATGTTAAAGCTAAGCTTAGAATTAAAAGTAAATTAACTTTTAACCATATTACTCGTCAATGCGCAGCACGTCGAATTCAATAATTTCGCGATTGATTCGCATTAAAAAGAGTTTATCGTTCTTTTATTTGTGTTTTTCGATTTCTGGATTTCTGCCTTTTGGCAATTATAGAAAGACGTGACCAACGTCCCTACTCCGATAAGAATCGTTTTTCGTTCACGACGATTTGCCGTTGATGAAATTCCCTATATAATTAAGTAAAGTAGAATATTTCCTACTTTCCGAACTACCCACGCATAGTGCAATAGTGACGTTCCCTGTGGTGCGAAGTATGTCTGGTTTTCCCCCACCCTCTTTTTTCTACCACTCGTATAAAATCATCGAGTATATACGATATTATAATTGCAAACGGTCCTGTCTCGAGAACCGTTCGGGAAATTCAATTTAGAACCTTTTATAACGGACCCGTGGAATGGCTGTTCGGCTCACGTCATTAATATAAACGCCGTTGTAAGACTGTTAAGAGTACATGTCCGAAACATCTGCTATATATTAAATACGCTAAATGTAAATTGTATATAATTATTACTATTCGTGCGCCGGACGTCGACTTCTGCTGCAGCTACTGGCGCAACACTATAGCCGAACGTCTATTAGTAAAACGTATACAATAGTGTATTATATAGATATAGTCGGAACGTACGAATTTAAAATAATAATATTTGATACGAAACGCGAAGACGGGAATTATCTGTATAATAAGACGTCGTCTATTTTTATCGTCCGCCGATAGTGCTACGCTAACATAATATATTATTTTTTATTATTAGGTAAAGCTTTTAACGAGTGTGCAGCACATCGATCGACGTAGACCATCGACCGATCGATTTGATCGAAAAGGGCGCCACACTTCCCGGTCTGACCGACCGACAACATGGCGGAATTACTCAATATGTTAAAACATGCAATATTATAGATTTTAAACACAAATTAACGAATCCAATGAGGAGAAAGTATTTGTCTGCTAGGACGTAACTAGAGTCGAATTTTCTCTCATCTGACTTATTGCCGTTACAATATATATATATATATAAACAATCAATTAGACCAATACAATTTTATCAATAGAAATACCAAATGTAGTTCTCAAAATTGTCAGTTAGGCATAAAAACAGATGGTAGGATCGGGGGTTCTAAATTAAAACAATCTAGTCACAACCTCGATAAAAATGTTATGTTTACATAAATACATTGTACATTTTAATAAAGTCACTTTCATGAGTCATTAAGAGTTTTTAAAATACGTTATTTCTCGTGAAAACATGAAATATGAACATAGCAATAGATGGAAAGGATATTGAAAGTTAAAACAACCAAAAGACATATCCATGATATTTATGTATGCACCAAGCATATACACAATTTTATTCTCTGGCTTTACTTTGGTATCCGTAGGGGTATAAGACGCTTAAATAAAACCATCCTCCCAAAATAATCTTTTGAAGTTCATATTGAAATTTAAACAACATTTTATCTCTTCAATTTTCCTAAAAAAACAAATTTAATTCCTAAATTTAAAAGTTCTTTTAGTCCAGAGAGAGCCGCTAAGTATCTAAATGTCCCGGATAAAAATTATAAATATAAAAAACGGACACAATTATATTGGTATATTACTCTATTTGCAATAATCGGGGAAAATGTAAAAAGAAACCGCTCCACTCAGAGTTTAAAACAACAAGTTGAAAAATCACAAGGAACAAGTTACGTGAGAACATAAAAAGTTCAACTTCTGTTTTGAGAAATTATATATTTATCAAAAATTTACTTAGTAATTTAATCCCGTTTTAAAATTAAAAGTGTTTTTTTTTTCACGTTTGATAAAAGATATGCTATAAGATATAATATATTGTATTAAAACCTAAAAATATATAAACTGTCAATCTGTTCAGTGGATTATAATAAAACAAGTTTATGATTCTGAGTGGAACGTAAAAGCTCATGTTTTTACTTTTACATTTATTTAATTATTTTTTTCTGTGAACAACTTATCTACCAGAGAACTTGTTCCGGTTTTTACGTGTAACACTTTTTCTTAAATAAAATCGATGTGGGAAGGTACTTTAAGGAGGTTATTTTTCTATTTTTTCAAAAGTTTTCTCATCAAATGCGAAAAAATGAAAAAAATCGGGAAAATGTACAAAATATATTTGTATAGCCCCCCCCCCCCCGCGGGTAATTTAAAGGGGTCGTTTTTCGATTTTCTCCGATGTTTTCCCAACAAATTTAAAAAACCGAAAATAAAATTAAGGAAAAACGGGAAAGTGTATGAAAAACGGAAAAATCGATACATTAAATTAATATTATTAAAGATAATATACAATGCTTATTTAATTCTTTTACCATAATATGACATATATATTGTTGAAAAAGCATCACTATTAACTGAACTCCGCTCAGAATCGTTTTTTCGTTAGCAATGGTTAATCGTTGCTAACAGATATACATTAAATTGCCTATAACAGTAGCTGCACCCGTCTCCATTATCCTATGACGTCTCTTTTATCTTTTTATCTAAATGGTATGTATTTAATAATTGTAACAACTTGATCTAAAAAAAAGTTACCAATTTAATATTTTTCGAAGAAATAAAAACATAATGATATTTTACTGGGTTATTTTTCAAGCCGAGTTCTTATCAATTTCTTATTGAATTTTTCTTCACTTATTTCGTATTATATACATTTTTTTTTTAAAACAGTAAATAATAAAATACAATAATCGTCCAAAAAAATAACGTACAAAACTATGAAGTATATCATTTTTATTATTATTATTATTTTTTTGGAAAAGAGTTAACATAATATATTATATAAGCCTCGGAGATATTCTTTTAAATTTTGTTACCTATTCAATTTGTGTTCAAACTCTAATAATTTTGCAATTTACGTTAAATTATTAAAGAAATTTCATTATATAGCCAGTTAGTTAAAATCACAAGACAGCAGTGCAGATGTTGCATCCTCTTAAACAAATAACGGGAGGAGGGGGGGGGGGAATTTAGTTGTGCTGGTTTTACACCGTGGGTGTAATCCACAATCGTACTTCACGATAGTAACTTATAGTTACATCTCAAAGATGTGGTTTAAAAAGTGTCACACTATTTTCATTCGTAAAACATAGAACTAGTGAAACTATGTTTTATCTACTGTATTGTGTTAGTAGTTTACGGTTGAGCGTTCACGACTGAAATATCCAACAATGTGCGATGTAGTCGTACGAATCAGTAAGTTGTGACAGGTTCGTAAATAATAACTCTGCGGTCGTGAAGTACGAATAATTATTGTCTGTTTACACAAATCACGAAATTCAGTGCTTCCAAAAACCGCAATTCTGGATCGAGCCCCGTGTTACGCCGAACTTTACGAGCACATCAAATTGAAATATTCACCAAAAACGAATTATTCATGTTACCTAATATCTATACGATCAAATTATTCGTCTTACCGATCGATGTGTGCAGCTGTAACGGATTTTACAGCTCGCGGTGGCGGTATGTCAATGAGGGTTAGTTTCGGGGATTGAACGAACCCCGTGCGGGTGTTCCGAGCACTTACCTATATTGAAAAAATAGAAAAAAAAATAAAAATTAGATCAAGGTTTCAATATATGTAATTAGAAAAAATCAAGACGGTCAGATATTATTAAATACGGTAGTATTACAATGTTTTCATCGACCACATAAATCGTAAAATTCGTATACACGTTTTATATTACCTGTACATATATAATAATACATAATACATTATTTTATTATGTTATTAGATGTATCGGATTTTTCGCCCGTAAAATTATTATATATAAGTAGAGCCCGGAATTGCAACCTCTTAAAATCTATAAAAGAACGTTTAAAAACGTAAAAAAAATCCCTGAAAAAGCACTAAAATCATCGTAAAAACGATAGAGAGATATAAGTCTCCCCCCTCGAACGGACCTAACTTGTTCAATTCAAATTTCTAACATAACAGAAATGATTCATACAAAGCAACTTTTTCTAAATAAAATTGTGCATATTATTATGTACAAAGCACTTTTTTGTGGATTTTAAGATAATATAAATACGGTCTCTAGTTATGATAAATCAATAATACACAATATATTTTACTAAACCGCAGTCAATACAATAAAACAAAAAACCACAGATATTTTTAAATATCTTCAAAACTATCGTGGTGTAAATATTAAAGTATTGTTATAGTAGTATCAATATATTGACAAATACTCTCGTTTTTGATTTAATGAGTATTATAATGTTATATGTACAAGCAAAACAATAAATTATTTCAGAGTTGCATTTATAGCGGGAGGGAAGAATATGGAGGAAATACCCTCCTTGATCTCTTTTTATTATAATATTCTATTGCCGTAAGTATTAAATATTAGGTACTATTTACTCAGTTACGAATTTATACATAAATATTGTTATTTATTTTATTAATTTTATTAACAAATAATACAGATTACTGACAATAAAAATAAATATGCCTCTTTAAAATTTTTTCTTGTGAAAAAAAAAATAAACCTAATTAGACATCTGCCTAGATACGATGAGTTTATCACCATCACCATGGAAAGGAAAATAAATGGTTAAAGAACTAGAAAAAGACCACGTAAATACTTTTTTGAAGAAATCTTCCGTTAGATAGATTTTATGTATTATCCAAAACTCAACAGATTCTGAGACATTAATGGTTACAACGACAAAGCTTTAGAAGCTGATGATGAACATTGTCATATGATATATTAAGAAAAGTACCCGTCAGATAATTCATAGATAATAATTCAAACAATGTATTTACCCGATAAGAAAGAAAAACATAACAAATATATTTGGTCTAGCGAAGTCTCGACACCGATTTAAATTCTTTGTGAAAATAAAAAAAAAAAAACAAAAAAATACGAGTATCTGTATGCGTAATCCAATGGGTACGAAAACGAAACGTTTATTTTTTATAAAATCGTCGAACTGTTATCGAGACGACTATAAAAACGACAAAACATAACAACGAAACGATAGTATCGTATCGCATTTTCGTCACGTATATAATGCACGTAACCATGCATCGACACGTTTAAAAATAATTGGCTAGTCAATGCATACTGTCCTCCAAGTGAAACAAGCAGTAAATGCCAAATTTTCAAAATTATACGGGTAATTTTATATTCGGTGTAATTGGATAATTCGGCGCTTTTTTTGTCCTTAGGAAATATACCGTAACTCCACTAGAAATACTATTAAAATACACTATAAAATGTATCAATCAAAATATTGTTAAATACTAGGGAAAAACAAAGTATGTACACGTATGTAACATGTCCTAGAGAATAAAACGGTATAGACAATGGAGATACTGCTTATATAGTAAACTAATTTCTCGGCGCATATTGAGAAATATGAGACTATATTATTTAACTGCATGCAAGTAAACTAAGAATACGAAAAAAACAAATTTCGACAAATTAAGGATGCCTATGGCTAATAATAATCAATGTGAAAAAATTGAATAAAAACAATAATTTCACGGCGAAAAACAGAGAAATCGGTAAACCCGTTTTCCCAACAATTCGATGATTGTTGGAGGTACTGCTTGTTTCACTGAGTGGGCAATATAGTACCGGCCCGCTTAATGAGTATAATATTGATACTAGAGTTCGACTTAATTTGCCGGTCAAATGAAATTGTCGGAGAAATAAACAGAAACGTTCGGTCGATAAGTAAAATATGCGTACGTCGAAACCACGGCGCGTTCGGTGGACCGCGGCCACGGTAAATGGCACGCGAAACGCGATTCGACCGCCCCGAATAAACCCAATTATTTATGTTTTCGTGGCGGCGTGATTACCCACCGGAGCGGGCACAAGGAGAGGGGGTGGTATAGGGAGGAGGGGAAGGGGACTTTTTTTAAGGGGACCTAACCGCCGAAGAATTTTCGAACGCGGCCGGTGGATTATTGTAGGCCCGGGCATCCGCGGGCACGAAATATTCTCGGTGGCCCGCACCAATTTATTCGCAAAGTTGCGGCCTCGACTTATGGTATTTACACAGAAACGATTTATATTTCGTATTTTTCCGAGTCTTCTTTCTTTCCTCTATAAACATTTCTCTCCGACAACGCATAGTTGCCGTATTGTATACTTGCGCAATGTGTACCGCCCGTCGAAACGTTTAATGTTATCAGCGTTTTTTATGGAAAGATTTTCAAATAAATTAAAACAAAAATATTTTGCGTGAGGGTGAATCCACGTTTACCTTTCCTAGAAGGGAATTTACGCTGAGCACTTCTCGTGATCAGGGCAGTTGTTTTGGCCATGTAAAAACGATGAAACTGAATGAGACAAGACGCAATGAACCTCTTATTTTTATGAATCGATACGTAAAAAGTGCGATTTGACTGATATAAATATTACTGGAAAAATTTGTGTTCTAAAAATGTGAGAAGAAATTGGCCTCCCTCTCCACTTTAAGGAGATTATTTTTCGATTTAACGAAAAAATGTACGAAATATAATTTATGATTTTTTTTTTCTGTAGACAACTTTTGCTACAAATTTAATGATAGTAAAGTTTCTAAAAAGAATTTTCAATAGTAAGGTACTCAAGAAAGATCATTTTTTGATTTTTCCAAGAGTTTTTCCAGAAAATGTGAAAAACCGGGATAATAGTAGGAAAACTGGGAAAATTTTTAGAAAATTAAACAAATTATATTGAAGAAAATAAATAAAACTTATTTAATTATTTTACCATAGAATGACATATATATATATTGTTGACAAAGCATCATTATTAACTAAACTCCGTTCAGAATCGTTTTTTCGTAAGCAATCGTTGCTTACAGATATATATTAAATTCCCTTCTATATCCTACCTTTTTAACTTAATACTTACACCAGTGGCTCCACCCGTTCCTATTATCTGACTTTTATTTTTATTTTTTTTTCATTAAATTTTCATCAGTTTCTATAATTCGTGACGGGGTTAATTTCTTATTATATTGGATATGCTAACTGCATATATCGTGTTCTATCAGCGTGTAACGTCGCAACAAAAATATTGTTTCGAATGACATTTGGAATAATTGTGTGTCTTATTAGACAGACACGTGCGCACGGTTTTTTGTCGTCAAAACACCGTTTGAAAATTCTTCGTGTTTTTATTATTATTACCAATATCGGCAATTGATGGCATTCGGACACTTTGATGAAATGAAAATTCGTTACTTATACAAAACGAACGTTAAACGTCGTGTACGACACCCATGTAAGTTTTTTTTTTTGTTAATCGACGAATCCCCTTTTTTTAAATTTAATTTACAACGAAACTAGCACACAAAGTCTCAGATTAATCCGGCGATACATTTTAAACACAGAGAAATACCGTGTACGAAATAGTTGATCTTTTTTTTTTTTTTTATGAAAATCGTTAAAAGTGAGGTTTAATTTGTTTTTACATATTACCCGTCACAAAAGTAACATGATGGACGAAAATAAATACTTATTTGATACGCATATTAAAATTCTGTAGATACCGTGCGTATAGTGTATACGGTGCGTTGTTATCCTGTAGCAAGTCCCGACAATTTTCGATTTTATATGCAGACAAAACAATAATAATGGCAAGAACCTCGATTCGATGAAACCGGGACGTTTTTCTGCCGATTTTCACTCGTGCTGGCGAAATTTTTCGAAATAAATTTTAAAAACAAATGTCAATGACAGAGATATCCAGGTATCTTCATCGGTGGTGCGGTTTTATCTTTGATTATTGTGTACCACTAACGGATGCCATAAATCTCGACGCATAAAGCCGATCCTTCGGCTTATCTCTCTCCTCATAGTCGTACGTCACACTTTTAAATGAGCGGTATTTTTTTTCATTTTGAATCCCGCTCTCTCCCAACACGTTCGCGGCAAACGATTTACCTTTAATATTATTATTTATATTATAACCGTTTATCGCATCGTATGAATCAACGACGAAGGTGGAAGTCTCAAACTTACGTTCAGTCGACAACGAATACGTTCCATTATATTATAACTTGATGTCATCGACCGTCGTCTACTGTGGCTGTTTCGTTTCTAGCATCCGATTTATTGTCGGTGTAATCGACGAAATC